GTTGCTATGGCGAAAGACGGGACTCTCCAGGTCCTGTAGAGAGTTTTAGAAAAGTTATAATCAGTTGGACATGTTGGCAAGGAGTTGTTCTCGTGGCACTTAACGGTCAAGGAGTCGTACATTTTTTATGAATTCTTCCCGGCAACAAGATGCTGTCGGTCTGGCTAGAAATCTTTTCATCTTTAAAAAGTTTGTCCCAATTTTTATGGTCCTAATTTTAAAAAATTTAACCCGTTAACTGTCACCCGTTTCCTGATCAGAAAAGCCCTACGCTGCCAGCGTTTTCATTGTTTTTTTAAGAGTCATAGAACGTTGCGCTCTATGATGATGTCAACGCCCAAACTACCAAAACAAAGAGTAGACTCACCTCTTACATCAGGAAGAATCCGCGTGTTTCGAGTGTTATCCGTTCTTTCGCTATCCATTGTCAAATTGTGATCGGCAGAAGCTTTTCCGGTTCTCGCCTCAATTTTTTACAGCAGCGGCCCAAAATGATCTCCTACCACATGGATTTTCTGTTTCCTGATCACAAGACGTGTGATGTACGTGGATGAAGATCGGCTTTAGAGCTGAGATGTTAGTTATCACGATGCGGGGGCTCGTTCCGACGCCCACACAGTAAAAAAAAATGCAAATGGCGACTTTAGTCGTCAAATGGCAGTGAATGAGTTAAATTAAAACAAAACCCCGACTATGTGAAAAATTCCAATAGATTCCTGGTCAAGTACATATTACAATGTTGGATAATGCCAATCAAGGTAGTACAATCAAGAGGGAGGGCACTATAAATCAGTAGGCGTAATACACACTCACAACAACCAGATCAGTGGCCTAGTGGTAGAGTGTCCGCCCTGAGACTGGGAGATCAGGGTTCGATTCCTGGTCTGGTCATACCAAAGACTTTGAAAAAATGGGACCCAATGCCTCCCTGCTTGACACTCAGCATTAAGGGGTTGGATTGGGGGGTTAAACCACCAAATGGTTCCCAATTGCTATATTTGAAAATTTCAGTTTTTCTTTTGTTTTCTACTCTATCAGCCCATTATTAATATCGACTGATCTTGGGTGTGTCTGTGTTGGTTTTCTGTCTCTTAATTACCCAGCTTTCACATACCATACACATAGTTTACATCTTACTCTTCAGCTACTTCTCCTCTCTCTCAAAATGTCAAAATACGACAGGTCTAAGGTAGGGCTGGGCAATAAATCAAAAATGTATCGTTATTGAATTTCTGACATTTATTGTGATAATTTTCCCATGTCAATAAATTTGATAAAAAAAATCAAAAGATCCGTGTACGTTTGCAACATTCATGTCCCTTTAAGAAGTTGTACCACCTTGAGTTACATAAAAATGTGACTCAACGTAATACACGTGACAGCCCCAATCAAGTGGACAACTTTTGTTTCCGCGCATACCTGTAGTTATCGTCCATTTATCGTTATCGAGGTGAAATCCTCAATATGTTAATGTTTATGTTTATGTATTTAGCAGATGCTTTTGTCCAAAGCGACTTACAAGTGATAATCGGCATGTTGCCCTTGAGGCTAACAACAACAATAACAACAACAACTTGACATCAATCATGGAGAGGAGGGAACAAGGAGTGGACAGTAGAGAGGGGGGACGGGTGCAGGGAGGTGCTAGTTTAGAAGATACTCTCTGAAGAGCAGGGTCTTCAGGAGTTTCTTAAAAAATTGAAAAGGAAGCCGCAGTTCTGGTAGTGCTTGGTAGGTCATTCCACATTTGTGGAACGATGCATGAGAAGAGTCTGGATTGTCCTGAGCATGGTGTAGGCACTGCTAGCCTGTGATGACCGGAGCGGCCGGGCCGAGACGTAAGCCTTTGCAAGAGGATTCAGGTAGATGGGAGCCGTACCATCTCAGACTTTGTATGCTAGTGTTAGCAATTATATATCATGATATTGATTTTAGGCCATGTCGCCCAGCCCTAGTCTAAGGTAAAGTTTTTGAGAAATAACCCTAACAAAAGACTAAAACAAAAACAAGAACCTTCACCCAAGGCTTTGTTTTCTGAAGATCTTTATAAATGTTTTATCACTGTAACTGCAATACTCCGAACAAGTAAGAATACGTTACTAACTAATACACACATCTTGGTATTACGAGATTCAGTTGCTTTTCCTATTCCGATTGAAGTAGTTTTCATTTTGCAATACAATGTTTAAAATGTAAGCATGTATGATAGGATATATGTGATGTTATTAACCTAAAGTGTTTTCTTTTTCTTTTTATGAGGGGCCACACAACCTATATCTATATCGGTATCAGAGTGAGTCAGTATCAGAAAATCAGAATATTGGTATAAAGGCCAATATTGTCCATTTCTAGTGTGAATAGATAAAAATGTAGAGTTTTATTTTTTTACATCTTTGCACCAATAAAGTCCAATCTGTTTCATTTAGTCTCCAAGCAGGTTTATTTCCTTGGGCCTCTCATTTAAAATAAACCAGAAATGTAGAAATTGTACATTGTTGAAAATAGAAAGTATAAAGTCAGTAGAACGCTTTTTAAATTAAAGTGAAAATTTCCGTTTATAAACAGCTGAAAATAAATTTGTTTTCATTTCCACCATGATATTCTTTATCATTGTAATTCTACCATATTTACTGCTCACAGAGAACACCTATGTTTATTCCCCATTGAGTTGTGCTCATATGTTACCTGTCTTTCAGTAAGAGTAAACTCCCCTGCCTGCATTGTCCAAACACCCCGATAGGCCCACCACCACTGGCAGCAAGCTTTGTTCCACTCTAAAAAAAGAGGACTAGCAAATAAAAGACAAAACAGGAGATGGCTAAAGTCATTCTGATCCCTCTTTCCACAAAAGCTAATCCAGGGGTGATCGTCAGCACAAACTCGGGCTTTTACTGCCTTCACCCAATCTGTTTTTGTGTTTTGCAATAAGGTTTAACCCAAAAATAATAATGCAACGACAGTAATAGTTGAGAATTACCTACAGTTTCCTCATATCTCTCATGACTGAACTTACTGTTGTTTCAGCATCTTTGCCACCTCTGTCTAAGCAGAGAGCAGACATCCCAGGCAATGAGGGTACGTCATACTGGCCAAAGATATATTTAAATATATATTAGAATTGAATTAAAAAAATAGCAGACAGTCCTTTGTGGTATCGATGTTGTGCACATTTGATATTCAGTTGGCTTCATCAGAACGTGATCTCCAGCTCCTCCACATCGAGAGAAGCCAGTTGAGGTGGCACATTTCCCCAAAGTAGCACATATTGACGAGTAGCACGGATAGTCAGAACACCAGCAAATCAGCGTAATATTACCGCAATGGTGTGTCGTATTAACACGCCATGCCGGCATGGTGTTGCGCAAATTTTGCAACATTCGTTCCATCTCACTTGGTAAAATTGCAATAATTGTCTGTCTCAAAAATGGCGATTGCACCTTGGCGCAACAGGAGGTGTCATGATGACATGGGGAGTTACTGCCGAGCTCTGGCTGACAACTATATTGAAAATGAAATTAAACACGGCCTGTAAGTTTTGCTTTTTGAACAAAATCGACTGAGATGGCAAACTGCAGTGCTCCATGAGCTTCTCTCCGTTGGAGCTAAAGCTCGGATCACCAGAGACTGCACAGGGACTGTACGTTGTTGTTAAAAATGCAAGTAATGTCCAAGATAAATGGAAGTCCATGGCAGCATAGAGACCACCTATACCCCCTTTATGCCACCATCACCCTAATCTTTTCTAAAAAGGGCACAATTGCACCACATTACCAGCACAATCTGTCTACTTATAAATTACATAAGTTCTCCCTGATGCCGCTACAGCGCTGCGGCGAATTGACAGCATTGTTTTGTAAGAACGTCTACTGTTTCACGGCTGGACAGGGAACGCCTTAGGATTCCCCCGGAGTAGCTGGCCCAAGTGGCTGGGGAGAGGGAAGTCTGGGCTTCCCTGCGCAGGCTACTGCCCCCGCGATCCGACCCCAGATAAGCGGCCGAAAATGGATGAATGGATGGATATTGTGCACATTGATATTGACATCTCCATGTTAAATGATCGATATACCGTGCAGTCCTAATTAAAAACATTACATAAACACAATCTGCTCAGCAGCATGCATTTACTGTTGAAGGTTAAGTACCAGAATATAACTTGCACAAAATGTGTGTGTTAATGGAGAAATGAGAGCAGAGAGCTTTCTGTTTCAACGTTTCACTCGTCATCCCTACGCAAGCTAAGGAAGCACCCAGATGTATGTTTCCAAAGGGTAATAAAATTTCAGTTCCTTACTGATTTACATTTTCTCTGCAGTGAACTCACTCCTCAAGCATGCCATGAGCATAATTTCAAGGTTACTTGATAACAAAGTGCATTTTGTCCCTCAGGAAATCCTGCTGACTCACAGTTTGTACAGTCACATCAAGTGCACCAACCTGAATACCTGAGATATTGTGTTCCCTTAGGTTTCCTGACTTAATAGTCCCTAATTGGAGAGGGGCAACAAAAGGTCCTTTCTAATTTACTCGTAAAGCTGTCAGGTTACTGTGTGATCCCAACACCAGGGTTTTGTTGCCTGGAAAAGACTTAATTGTAAACTAGGAACTATGGTGTTTTCTGTAAATGATTGTCTGACACGAACATCATGGCAACACTTTAAGGCAACAAGACTGGAATTTCATTCAACACCAAAGTTTGAAGCCTCAGAAGTGCTGTCGTGATTGCCTCACTTTTCCAAAGAAATGAATAACAGCACTGAAATGTTCTTTTGTTGGTCAAACATTGCCCGGTGGAAACTTAGTAGCTGTTTTCATCCATGTTGTCATGTAAACTGAACACATGGGGGTAACACAGTTCCTAAGAATCTCATTAATGTTATAGTTAATGTTGACACGTTCCAACAGTGCCGTATTACACAATCTTGACTACATTTTAAATGTTGATAGTTTCGTAACCCCCAGCCATCACCTGGCATAATTACACAATGTTTCTTCATGTCCAGAACACCAGGACTGTCTCCACCAGGTGGTTCACGAGCGACTCGGCGAGCTGCTACGAGTCCTGAAGGCTATCATCAAGAAACATCAGAGCCTCAACTCAGTGGACATCCTAAGTACAGCTGGAACCGTCATTGCCACGGTCAAAGGTGAGCTCTTAAACACACCAGCTACTCCTCCGCTCTTTGCGTCTGTTTTCTGTCTCTGCCTATCTAATCCTCCCTTTTCTCTTGTCCTAGCTGAACATATTTCGGTGTTCTCCCACACTGTCATATGTTTTGAAAGCAGTTAAAATCCTGTCTAGAAAATCTTAGTAATGATTTGTTTTAGGTCTTTAGGGATGTTTCTGCATTTTGGGCATGCACGGCCATAAACAATCATTAGGTTGTTTAAAAGTCTGTTTTTTTTTCCTTACTCTGGAATGTAGCCGTTGATGTAGACAACAAAAATGATCAGAGAACCATGTTTTTAATTGTTAAACATCCTAATTTTGACAGATTGCTTTATAGATGGTCTATTTAAGCATTATAAATTAAAATAAAATATAGAAAATGAATATAAACTCTTTACTTTCAGGCCGTCTTTCTATAGCGAAACATTTTCTTATATTTAATGACAACAACTGCAGAAAGCTCTGTGTTCATAGTAAATACTAATCTCTGTTTGAAGAACAAACCTTTCTGAATCGGCTTTTTTGCCACTAGGTGGCCAGAACTGCCCCTCCTCCACACACACACACACACACACACACACACACACACACACACACACACACACACACACACACACACACACACACACACACACACACACACACACACACACACACACACACACACACACACACTCATTCACAATGTGTCACTATTTTGCTTTTGCACCACTGTACCCAGAGTTATTGTGTCACAAACATTTTAATCGCTTCACTTGTTATGCCATTTATTTGATGATGAGCAGACGGTACAAGCCCTGGAACACTACATAGTGATGTTCTCAGGTCTGAGCCAACATTAGCTCAGTTAGTGTAGCATTCAGCCTTCCTCTGATGCGTTTGCTACTTCTCTGTCTGGAGCTAGAGCACCTCTAGCTGACCGGTGCTGGACAGGACTTTGCTGCTGATGAATGTTTCGAGAGCGTTGAGCTCTTCCAGTGAAACAATGCCATTTTTCCTCGATGATGTAACTTCCACATCTGGACCTTTGGTTGGGAGCCTGAGCGAGTAGTGGCATTGTATTCCAGCAAGCCTCAGGATGTCCTGTTGGGGAGGGGGGGGGGGTTAGTCAAGAGTTGGACAGCACAGGAGGAGATGGAACAGAACACGAGTTGGTTGGTAGCGTCAGTAGCTACTGTGGACTTATGAAGACGGATACTGTTGACATGAAAACCTGCTAAAGTCCCAGATTTTTGGGTTCAACCAGCATTCTTTGTGCCCACTGAAAACAAATTGTGTCTTTTTTGTTTTTCTTTCTGCTGAAAAGACAAAGGTAGTTTGGGACTCCTAATGGACATGGGACATTGTATGATTTACTTTAACGGTGCCAGGACAGCTTAACCAAATTTCACAAGTCATCACAAGTAGACCTACTTGGTGTAATCAACGAGAATTGATACTGTCAGAGGTGGGCGATATCAGGTGGGTGATTTGCAGTTTTGTGTCACTGTTTTGAATGTGGGTTTCCTCAGAGAAACTGATGTCAGTGTTTAAGTACCCTTGTGTTTGAAAGTGTTTGTTGGTAGGGGAGTGCTGCTTCACTTTAACCAGGTTGCGAAACGTATTATTTTTGAAGTTCTGACTGAAATTATTAATACGTTTTTATATTTTTCACTAGTTTTCTGCAAAGATTTGACAAGACATCAAGGGCAAACTAGATTTTTGTTTTTGTCCAGTGTGAGATGAATCAAAAATTCAAATAAAACCCAGATACAAAGGGGCCTGGTAACTAGAGCGTCTCATCACTGAGAGCTGGAACTCTGGAAATCGTCATTGTTCTAAAGGAAAGGAAAGACGGAGGAATTCATGGAGGCAGCAGAGTGCTTAGGGACAGCACTGATTTATTTCTACTGGTTTGTTCTCATTTTTGAACATCTCTAGTTTGTTTTCTCTCGCCCAAGTCAGCACAGGAAGTTTACTGCGTGGACTGATTACAGCCGTATTTTCACCGGTGCGTTTCTTTCCCTATTCTGTCTTCAGTCATCATCGTGTTTAGACTTGCAGCAGGAAACTACTGCCTGGCCCGATTACAGCCAAACATACACACTCTGGGTCTTTGCTTATCTCCACAGATTTAGCAGAGTTGGTTTTGGATGCCTGTGAGGGGCTTTTTGATTTGAAAATCTCTGCTCACACAAACAAACGTCTAGCTCTTTGGGGTTTGGAGGAGTACGGCATGACTCATTAGAAAATCTCTCTGACTCCCCGCCTGACATCATGAACAGGACGATGAATCATGTTATGGTGCTAATGCCTTAAACAAAGGGAAACAGAGCAGAGTTTTCTACCAAATCTCGGCTCAGTCTTCTTTCTTCACAATTTGGCAGGAGTGAACTTCAACGAGGTGAACGAAGAGAACAAACAGAAGCTTTTTGGTGAGATCTTCACAGCTATCGACAAATTGGCGTTCACCTTTGGCAATGTGTAAGTGTGACATCGTCGTTGATGCGTCTTAATGGTGTATATTCGAATCTTACACAGTTCTGCATTAACCTTTGCTCAATTTGATTTTTACTTTTATATTCTGGTTTTTCTCCTCAGAGTTTCTGATTTCCTTATGGGAGATGTAGAAAATGGATCAGTGTTGGGGTTGTCCCTAACTAAGAAAAGCAAGGTATGAAAAGTGTCCTTTCATCACCCCCCTTTTAGCTCATTCCTAATTTTATGTTTATGATTTTGAAATGGCAACATTTGTCGAAAAGAAACAGGCAGAAAGGCTTAAGAGCTGTAAAAGAAGCATTGTTTTTATTTGTCAGGGCCAAAAGGCTGGCTTTAATGTTTTTGCCTTTGTCTGTTTGTCAGTGACATAATCTCATGAGCCACTGTGTGGATTTCAATGAAACTTCCTGAAAATATGGTACATCTATAACTGATTATATTTTAATGGGAAAATAGTTGAAATAAAGGCGGAGGATGTTTCTGAATTTCAGGGACGAACCGCCCTCTCCTTGTTTTGAGAACGCCTCGTGCACGCTATGTTTACAAGTAGCTGCTGGCCGTGCAGTAAACTTCTTCTAGCAGTAATCTGAAACGAATTTCCTCAAAACGCATGCCGAACTTTATCTTACCTGTCCAGCAGAAAACTGGCAACAGAGGCGTCTGTGGGAAGCCCTACCTTCGCTTTGTGCAGGAAATGAAAACTACCCAGCAACGAGCACTTACAACGACGGCGTTGCGTGAATGGTTCACCAGAATGATTGACAGTTATGCGGACCAATGGTTCCGATGATCCACCTAGAAGAAAAAGGTCCTCCGCTATATCTTTAAATGATTCGCAACACATACTGAGTGCTAACAAATTGCTTGAGTTGCTGCAATATTTTGAGATAGTGCAAAATATAATTTTCTAGATTTTACCAAAAGTTAGTTAGTACGTCTTTTGGGCAGATCTTTGCATCAAAGGAGGCGAGCAAAAAACATTGCTTGAAGGATTTTACTGTTTGGAAAGCATTCATGGGTGCAAAATTCACCTGGTCTGACCTCCCACAGCTGTATTAGACACGAAAACAAGTCTGATGGTCCACGTGGTTCCTTATTTTTGTGCACACGTTATTTTATTCTTGACCCCGATAGCAGCAGGATGTGACCCACCGGCCCCTGAATTGTCAAGCCTGACACGTGAAGGATTACCCAGCAGAGTTCAGAGGTGAAGCAAACCTTTGCAGGTTGTTGATGCATGGGCTTCAAACAGCCTCTTTAAATGATAAATGTTGTTTTTCTACAGCGTAACTGATCTGAGGAGGAAGTGGTGGTTCTGATAAGGATTGTTTTAATCATGTTAGCAGAGCATTCTGTGGATCAAGTAGGAAATTAACCCCTTGTTGGTGTGTCTTTTGTTTCTGTTTGACTCTTTCAGTCTTTTGAGAACCTCTGTGTGGAATCTGGAGGATCTGGTCCTGAGAAAGATGATCCACCAGGTAAGACAGATTGAACACACAGCCACTGTACTCACTGCCTCGCTGTGTCAGGATGAAAACTAATCCCCACAAATTGGATAGAGAAGTAAAAGGTCTTGTACATAATGTGTGGCTAAATTAACTTTATCCTTAAATTTGATCTGTAATGACAGACTCTTTCCATAAAAACTAGATCAGTCATAAACCCTAACCATTTCTGGCCTGTTATTAACTTAGGCAGACATGGTATAACAGCTCTAATCTAAAAAAAAAAATAAAATAAAATCAAATTATGTAAATAAAGGCTTACATCATCATCATTTTCACATAACAGTTTTTAACAGAATTCTAGAGTTTTTTTTTTACCATAAACATCTGCCTCTGGTGCAGCTGGACACTTGCTGCATGAGAATTAGAATGTTTCTGCAAAATTATTTGAATTAAATATCTGTAAAGGTTAAAAAAATATCATTCACATGAACAACTTGACATTTTAGAGATAGGAGTTGTTTAAAGACCCCGGTGTTACTTCAGTATGTATTACAGTAGGTACAGAAAGTATTCAGACCCCTGTCAATTTTTCACTCTTTGTTAATTTGCAGCCATTTGTTAAAATCAATTAAATGATTTTTTTTTCATCTTTAATGTACACAGAGCACCCCATGTTGACATGTAAACACAGCATTTTATACATGTATGCAGATTTATTAAACGAGACAAACTGAAACATCACATGGTCCTAAGTATCTAATCCCTTTGCTCAGTATTTAGTAGAAGCACCTTTTGAGCTAATACAGCCACGAGTCTTCTTGGTAAAGATGCAACAAGTTTCTTACATCTAGATTTGGGGATCATCTGTCATTCCTCCTTACAGATCCTCTCCAGTTCTGTCAGGTTGGATGGTGAACAGGGGTAACGCCATTTAAAATAACGGCGTTACTAACGGCGTTCTTTTTTTAGGCTACGGAATAATCTAATTAATTACTTTTCCCACTGTTGCAACGCCGTTACCGTTACTGGGGATGGAAGGTTGTGCGTTACTATGTGCTTGTCGAACGTTGAGCAACAGGCTTTCTGAACGCCACACTTCAGCTGCAGCCAGTGAGAGAGAGGTGTCGGTAACGCACTTACAAACACGATGATGATTGGCCGGGTGGGCGGAGACCCTCACGGTCTCAGTCACTGCATACTGTAGACACAACAAAGCAGTGATGGGAATAACACCGTTTAAAATAACCGTGTTACTAAAAAAACATATTTCTTTCAGTAATAAGCAAACTAATTAATTACCTTCTTCTTTTATCAAAATGTCGTTTCTGTTACTGATAAGAACATGCGTGCGTTAAGCTGCGCGGTGTGTTGAAGCTGTCTTCAGCTGATCAGGAGCTAAAGAGGCGGGTGTTTTCATACAAGCGCATCACGGACAAGGAAGACGTGACGAATATTCTACGGCTGCAGCAGCGAATCTGCAGCCGTGACCTTCTTAGCGTGACAGCGGGACGTCCTGAAGGTCCGCTCACCTGTTCACCGCTCAGACGTCCTGATCTTCTACCTTCCTAGATCACCCAGCTGTAACCTGTTTCTGATCATGTCTTTAGCCCCGCTGTAACACTGATGCATCAGTCTCAGACGTCATGGAGCTCAGGTGTTATCAGAACTACCTGTGTGTGTAGCTTCAGCTCTTCTGTGGTTGGGTCTGACCCACGTTTGTACATTTAAGTCCTCCATCAGGCTTGTGCCTCTTCTAGCGTCATTTTAAAGGATTTTATTTATTTATTTAACTGTTACTAGATTACCAGCAACAGAAATGCTGCTAATAACACACAATCATGTGAAGCTGGAAAAATTAAAATGCTGTGCAAAATTACATTTATTTCTGCAATTTAACTAGACTGAGAGACAATTTAAAGGCTTGGGAACCTTTACAGGTGTTTCTATTTGCAATTTAAAATTTTAGCTGATTGGGGTCTTGTTAAATATCACACAGTGACCTTTTAATAGTCTAGATTAGTGTAATGTTCCTGTTAGTAGTTCCTCCTGTTAAGTGCTTATTTATTTAAATTATTCAGGTTCATAAAAACATTTTGACATACCGGTACACTTTATTATGTTCCAGTCATTAGTCATTTATATTTCACTATTGTAGTAATTCATGGTAAATTAAGTAAGTTCAATTAAGAGGGGAACCAATTTTTCTTGCATTCTTTAATGGAAAAAGTAACTAAGTAGTTATTTTTCTTAGTAATTAGTTACTTTTATAATCTTGTAACTCAGTTAGTAACTGAGTTACTTTTTTTACAAAGTAATTAGTAACTATAACTAATTACTTTTTTAAAGTAATTTTCCTAACACTGGTGAACGGTGGTGTACAGCCATTTTTAGGTCTCTCCCATCGGCATGAATATACTGGACATCTCCTTTCCATAGGCTCCAATATCACGTTTTTGAGGCCAAATGGGAGGTGGCCACCACCGCCATTTTGACCGTGTCACAGGTTCCGTCAAACCCAGACAATTCCACAAAAGGGAAGAGAGGAGGAGCTGAGGGTGGGGCTGTAAGGCTGGGATCAACTGACGACACCCGGTCGAACTAGCTACAAGCTAACCCTGGCTAACCCAAAGCTAACGTGGAGGTGGGAGCTAAGCTAAAGAAGGTAGCAACCTAGCTACAACCGGAGTTAACTGTGCACAACACCAGAGCTTCTGCGTCAGAGATACGCCGGGCTGACCGCTGGGTAAAACCGGGTGGAACACAGAGGTCTCCAGACCTCCACAAGCCAGCAGCCGCACAGCAGATAAGCGCCGCTGCAATCTGAGATGAGCAGAGCTGCCGCTGGGGAGAACCGGGTGGAAAGGTTTCCATCCCAGAGCTCCACAAGCCGGCAGCCCGCACATCAAACAGAAGCCGCGATCAGACAGAGATGCGCCGGGCTGTGGGGAGGGGAGAACCGGGTGGAACACAGAGGTCTCCCGAGAGCTCCACAAGCCGACAGTCGGAACCCAGCTCCACCAACATGTTATATTTCAACCCATTTTCTAAAGTGCAGCATTATGTTAAATGCACTGGGTTTTACCCTATTACATTTAAATTTCATGGTTAAACAGTACATGTTAAAATCTAAGCTCAGCTCGGCAGTGACCTAAAACACATAAATATAATTTTACTTACCGAAAAAAATGAAGTGGAGACTCCTTGGACGCTCTATTAGTGCAATTAATGCCACAGCAAGTAGGCTTGGGCGGTATCCAAATTTGAATACCATCTAACTTCCACTTGATTTTACCCCGGTATACGGTATTACCGTGAATACTTAAAAAGTATGACGTAAGCCTCAAGTGGACCTTCACCTTTCTGAATCCGAATACCAAACAATTACTAAAAAAAATAACAACGCAACTCACATACTATTAACATTTATTAACACAAAAAACGCAGCTTATAAACAAGTGCAAAGAGTCAACAGTCCAACAGCAATAAATCAACATAAAAACCCAGGACAGCTGTTGTGCGCAAATCAAGTGAACAACTTATCAACGAGCAGCATGAAACAGTGCAAATAGGCCGTAACAGTCAACAAGAGTTGAATAACCATAAACATTGAAATAATAAAAATTATTGCAACCAAAACAACTGAATTAAAATTATAAAAAGAAAACTCCGTCACACGGCCACACACGTGCGCGCGCACACACACACACACACACACACACACACACACACACACACACAGGAGTGTGAACATTACGGCATGTTGCAGCAAATCTAGTTAAGATTTTTCGCCAGAAAAACCAGCATGTTTACTTTTTCTGGGTTCAAGTTTGCACGTTGTGGACCAACAACTTTACCTGCGGTGCTGAAAACCCGCTCCGATGGTGAGCTGGTGGCACAAATACATTGATACCTCCGGGCCAGTCGTGACATCTGGGGAAAACGGCTGCCAGCATATTTCCACCAGAGAAGAGGGTCTTTGTCCCCTTGAATAACAGGTTCCAAACAGTACGCTGTTATTTCAGCTCCAGCTCGTTGCTCTGCGCCGACGGGACCCTCCGGCGCAGCGTCAGCGGCTCGTTTTTGCAGGAGAGCCCCCAGAGACATCTTTTTGCGTGGGGGTTCAGGTTGTGCTCGTTCCTCTATGGTTCGGATGACCACTGCTTCTGGTGCTGTTTGCCCCTCTAAGCTCACGATCTCAGCCTGTAATTCAGCTTTGATTTCAGCCAGTGCGTTGTCATCAAGCTCATATCTGCCACGGTAACGAGGATCGAGGAAAGTGCATTTTCGCATTAATTTGCGCACTGAATCAGATTCATACTTGGCCTCCAGCCTTTTTAGAATTGTGGTTTTTATTGACTTTGTAAGCTGGAGGTCGTTTTCTGACACAGCCAACACGCTCTCCCTGCAGAGCTGGAGTATGGGGAGGATAGAGGAACTGGTCAGTCGCACAGCTGTTTTTCATGACGGTATTGGAACTGACACCGTCGCTATTTTGTAATACCGCGTGTATACGGTAATACCGTAATACCGCCCAAGCCTAACAGCAAGTCATTTTGTCCAACAATTGCACAAATAATATCCAAAAAAGAATACACAAACACGGAGACTCAAAATCCCAGAACAGTTTCCAAGCCAGACCGAGGCTACTGAGACCTTTCCACGGAGCTAGCTCTGTGGTCACGTGAGTCGGATGCTCATTAATTATACAGAATTTTAGGCTTTTAATACACTTAAACAGAAGAGTGAGAAAAAAATTCACCCCCCTCAGAGTTGTCATGAGTGTAAACTAGATCATTTAAACCAAAAACATGTTTTGGTACCAGGCTGTAAACATGTTTATTTCTGCTGTGAAATTGGTATTTTTAACATGGGAGTCAATGAGGATTTGCTCGCTTCTGATACCAGCCCCCAGCGGAAGAGGGTGGAACTGCAATTTTTGGTACTTCCGGGTTTGATTCAATTTTGGAGCCGCATTGTGGGGGCTTGGTCTCTCCAGAGATCTACCACAGCACTCCAGAGACTGGGTTTAAGTCAGGGCTCTGGCTGGGCCATTCAAGAACAATCACATCGTTGCTGTGAAGCCGCTCCTCTGTTATTTTAGCTGTGTGTTTAGGGTCACTGTCATGTTGGAAGGTAAACCTTCAGCCCAGTCTGAGGTCCTGAGCACTCTGAAGAAGGTTCTGGTCCAGGATATACCTGTACTTGGCCGCATTCATCCTTCCCTCGATTGCAACCAGTCGTCCTGTCCCTGCAGCTGAAAAACACCTTCACAGCATGATGCTGCCACTGCCATGCTTTACTGTGGGGACTGTATTGGACAAGTGATGAGCAGTGCCAGGTTTTCTCCACACATACCGCTTAGGATTATGGCCAAAAAGTTCTATCTTGGTCTCAGACCAGAGAATTGTATTTCTCACCATCTCAGGGTCCTTCAGGGGTCTTTTAGCAAATTCAATGAGGATTTTCACGAGTCTTGCACTGAAGCGAGACTTCCGACGGTCCACTCTACCATTAAGTCCTGGCTGGTGGAGGGCTGCAGTGATGGTTGACTTTCTACAACTTTCTCCATCTCCCGACTGCATCTCGAGCTCAACCAGAGATCTTTAGGTTCTTCTTTACCTCTCTCACCAAGGCTCGTCTCCCCCCGGTAGCCCAGTTTGTCCGGATGGCCTGCTTTAGGAAGGGTTCTGGTCGTCCCAAACATCTTCCATTTAGAGATTATGAAGGTCACTGTGCTCTTAGGAACCATAAGAGCAGCAGAGATTTATTTGTAACCTTGACCAGATCTGTGCCTTGCAACAATTCTGTCTCCGAGCTCTTCATGCAGTTCCTTTGACCTCATGATTCTCATTTGCTCTGACATGCATCGTGAGCTGCAAGGTCTTAAATAGACAGGTGTGTGTCTTTCCTAATCAAGGCCAGTCAGCATAATCACACACAGCTGGACTCCAGTGAAGGTGTAGGACCATCACAAGGATGATCAGAAGAAATGGAAAGCACATCACAGCAAGGTCTGAATACTTAGGACCAAAAACCAATTCCCTTACTCCTCCAAAACCTCCTGTTTTCACGTTGCTTCAAGGCTCTGAGCCTCTGTAGGTGCCATTTATTACTTGTATTTGTTTACATCCTAATTATGTGGCCCTTAGAAACGAGTAGAAGACTCGAGGTAGCTCAGAGGGTCTGTAATTTATTTATTTTTATTAGCTATTGTTAGTGAAAAAACGCAGACGTGTGACAATGTTCATAAACGGCTGCTCCTCAGTGACTCATCAGAATAGATCTGTTATCGGTTAGCGTTAATGATAATATCGTGACCCCAGGTCAGGCCGAGCTTTTCCTGCTGACTCGCTCTCTCTCATGTGCATCAGTGGACAAAAATGGCGCCCGTTAGCTATCTCTTACATGGTTTCCTTGGTTACCACAGGGCTGTCTCCACCAGTTCGGGTCGAAGAAGTGGACCGGACGCTGCAGCGGCAGGACAGTGGGGTGGAGTCGGTGCTGCTCTATGCCAAGTCGTGGTCTAAGTACACCAAGGAGCTGCTGGCGTGGGTGGACAAGCGTCTCAGCGCGGGTGAGTTTCTCTGCTGCTGCAGGGACAACACATAAGGAAGACCTAGCCTTTTAGCTATTATGTCCGCATTTAATTTACATTTTTCTTTTTTTAACCAGGAAATGTATGTTTTGGGTTGTTAAACATGAGTCTAAGCTTTTTTTTCTCCTGATCTTGGTACTGTTTTGATTGTTTAATTGAATTTAGGGATTGAATGAAAGTTTTTTCTGAATGTGTGAACTGGACCCAAAACAATGAGGTCGTATCCAGGCTGAAGGTGGAGTTATGCATTGTGAGACGTTTTGTTTGCTAAATTGGTTAATGACTGGTTTTAGTTTAACACACAAATCTCTCAACTCCACCGCAGGACAGGCTGTACAGTACAGTTAATAGTATCCTCTGGCCTGCTCAACTTTCATGCCTCTATTGATTATTCTGACGTGCAGTTTAGTCACACAAAAACATTAAAACCTGTAGTTTACATCTGGAGATTTTTCATAACATAAGTCTGGCATACTCTTTCATTTCTCATCTGAGAAACGTCAACAAATGAACTCCAAACGTCGTTTTGCAGATATGGAGTGTGCAAAGAGTTACGCCAAAATGGCCGAAACTGCCAAGACTCTTGCGAGTCAGCAGGTGAGCAAATGTTGCGGGGGATTTTACTGGTGGGTTGCTTTTTGCTCATAATGACATCAGGGCTGTTTCCGCCTCGTTCAAGGAGTTCATGCCTTTCCGTGAGATATACATGACAGCTTTCAAAAACGACATTGAATCCAGTCAGCTGGTGCTTCAGACTGCAGCGATACTCCAAAGCAACAAGTTTGTGCAGGTAATTCATTAAGTAACCGACTCTTTTATGGAACAGGACCCTGACTAGTTTTGGACAATGGAAATAAGAGAGCTTGATGAATATGTGTTTCTTTCCAGCCTCTCCTGGCCAGAAAAAATGAGCTGGACAAACTACGGAAAGAGGTTAAGGAGCAGTGGCAGAGAGAGCAAAAGAAAATGGTGAATCTCAGGATGGTCCTCCACACAATTTTTTAACAACTTCTACTTATGAGTGAACATAACAAATCTCTGTCTCCAGCAAGAGGCAGACAGTGCTCTGAAGAAGGCTCGGCTGCTGCAGGTCCAGCGGCAGGAGGAGTACGACAAGGCAAAGGTGACCACCAACCGTCTGGAGGAGGAGCAGAACGCAGGTGGAGGGGGACCTGCAGTAGCCAAGCAGCTGGAAAAGAGGCGCAGGCTGGAGGAGGAGGCCCTGCAGAAGGTGGAGGACCAATCCTGAACTTGCTTTTGTTCATTAGTGCACGCATTAACTTTTTTATTAAGTCGGTCATTATCAGCACTGGCAACATCCGTCATTAAGAATGGCTTTTTCTTTTAGGCTGATGAGGCCAGGGAGCAATGCAAAGCTTGTCAGGTTGACGTTGGAGTGAAGCGAGTCGACTTGGCCACCACCAAGAGTGAGATCATCACCCAGATCAGAGAGATGGTGTCCCAGTGTGACCTCACGCTGAAGGCTGTGAGTTCCTTCTCCTGATAAGGGCTAAAGCCAGCGTTCTGGGATGGTTCGCAAATATTTGGAGATGCAAAATTGTGTGGTGGGAAAATAGTGCAAATTTTCTAATTTAGAATAGTGATACTTTTAAATGTAGCCTCATCAGCAGGGAAATATGATGCAAATTAGTCACTCTGTCCTAAGTATTCTTTTATTTGTTCCCAAATTTCTGTCATTTGATTTGTGGTTTGATCGCCAGCCTCTCCCCCAGGTATCCCTTATACCTCACACCTCTTATTAAACTCAAACACGTGTTCACGGTTCAAGTAAAACAAAGGAAATGTTGAACCCACGCAAATAAAACTCCTGAAAAGCTGCTCGCAATTTGTTGCCGACAGTCACATCCCAGTGAGAAAGTGGTCCAATAGAGCGTCAGCTATGTGCGACCCGCTAATGCGTCGTGTGACTCGTTTGATAATCTGGACTGGTCCTGGTTTTGCAGGTGACCGTCAACTGGTTTCAGCTCCAGCAGGCGCAGGTCGTGTCTCTCCCAGTCAACCACCAGAGTCTGTGTGAGAACGCCAAGCAGTATGAACCCGGCCAGCGCTACATCGAGTTTGTCAGGAGTCTGTCCACCAACGGTCCTCGTCTGGAGTGTCACTCTCTGGATTCACCCATCCCGCAAAGCTCACGGTGAGACTTCTCAAGCAGTCGTGGCCAAATTAAGTGAAGTAGTGCTAATTAGTTGGAGGCTCTAATATAATTTTGGTTGAACGAAAACTTCATTAAAGTTAAAATATCCTAAAGTCGGTGTGTTTTCTCCCTAACTGAGAGGTGGAAGGACAGAGTGAGAGAGATTGTTTTGGAAAGTGTAAAACAATTGTGTTAGTCAGAGCTTCCTGCGGAAATGACTGTAGTCAGGGGACCGAGGGGGTCGGGCGGGGGCTGTCCACCCGTTTGCTTCACTTCTTTTATCCCCAGGTGCTCCTAAACTTTCCTCAGACATGAGCAAACCACCAGACCTTCTAATTGATTCTGTCAGTTTCTCTGGAGTGGATTTTTGGTTAAAAATGGTTCCTTTATTTTGTTGACACAGGTTTGTGGTTAAACACACGTTACCAAACACACGGGAATAAGAGCCTGCTTTGTTCTCGCCGAGTTTTCTCCCACCCTGCCTCCCCGCTCTCTGATCCCTCTGATCAAAAGGACTGGAGTCAGGAGAGAGGAAATGAAATTTGGGAGCGGGGACACACCCACGCTAACATGCACCCAAAGCACCGGCCCCCCCAAGAGCTTAAATATAGCCCACTGACCTACTTAAATGTGTTTTGTGGGATACTTTGCTCGACAATGGCTGGCTTTGTTTGGAGATGTTGCTCTAGCCAGGCTTAATTCTGAGTCAGTTAGTGGCCATTATCCTTTAATCAGCTGCTGTCTTTGATGATCTGATCTCATGATTTCAGGATTATGCAGGGCTCTTGTCAGATTTGATAGAATTTGCAAATATAATTAAGAATTTGATAAGTCAGCACAGAAGAGGAGACAGAAAACACTTGCTGTGTTTAGATGTCTATGCGTTGCTTTATATGAATTAAAAGAATTTAAATTAGGATTAATCATATTCCTGTTGATCCAAAGAATATCCCGTGTTAGCATAAGGACACTAATGTTGGTTTTTGGGGGTGTGGCCTTCTGAATTGTTTTGTTAGCGTTATCTTCCACCACTCAGTTTGGTTGTGACATGCTGTTCCTAATTTTCTGCCCCAGGCTTCTTTTAAACAAGCGCTCCGTGGGCAGCCACTCCTCCCACAGTAACCTGTCGCAGGCATCGGTGACCTGTGACATCCTGGGTGGAGATGACACGGACGGTCAGAACAACTCACAACACGCCAAGATAGCAGAAAGGCGCTCCAACGGGAGCAGCGACATCCAAGGTAAGCATGCAGCCGCTGGTTTTCTACCTCGCCCAGCGGGCAGAAGGAAGGAGATTCTGAGTCTGGGAGTAAAATGAAATGTTTTCAGGTGTGATTCACATGGTTTAGGTGTAGTGCGGGGAACTCTAAAAGGATTTGGTCTTTTCACATACATGAGAACCTGTTGGGGTTTATGAGGTGTACATTTCTCTGCAGACACCTAATACCTATACATATTCTTATTTTAAATGATGCTGTCTGTTGTGCAGCCCTTCGGATTCAGGGTGCTTTTCGTTCTTGGGGCTCGGCCAGTCAAAGTGGTGGGATGTGCAGCGACTCGGAGAGCGCTGGTGGGAGCAGTGAGTCTCGGTCCATGGACTCACCTACAGCCAGTCCAGGTATAACACCACAAACCGTTCCACACCAATGAGTATATTTCCCTTCAGGCGTAGATACAGCAGAGATCGTTTTCTTTGGTGCCCTTGGGACAGTAAACTGTTATTTTCCTTCCTGAACCTGATTTCCACCCAACTTACTGGCATGTTGTTTCATAACCAGCAAGCTTGGCGACCCTACACTATTTTGGTTTAATGTTGCACAACAGTATCACACTTAAGCCCTTTTCAGACAGACATCCTGGAACATTTGCGGACAATTCAATCCGGTTTTTAACCGGAACTGTGTTTTCAGACACACCACTTTTGTACCGGAACTTGTCCTTTCGGCTGCGTTCACACAGCAGGGAAAAGTTCCAGATGTCTGACGGCGGCGGGGGGTGGGGTGGGGTGTGGGGAATCAGACTTATGATAAGAAGAAGAAGAAGAAGAAAATATCATTTCTATAGCGCCTCTCAAGATAAAAATCACGAGGCGCTTAAGCATAATTCTGCGCACACGAAGACACATAAGAGACCTGGATGATGAAGCTCAATGGTTAAAGGAATCACTGAAGTGGTGTGAAGCGCTCCGTCGCGCGTCTGGGCGGTACCGTAGGAGGCGAGCTGCTGTGGTTCACCGCATGCTACAGCAGCGGGCTATATAGGTGCGCACAGCGTCCCCCGGTCCCCTCCTCCTCCCCCTCCCTCTTGTCCGGAACTTTACCTCACCAGTCTGAAGCAGCCACCCTGTCCGTAACAAGTCCGGACCTGTTACTAGGGGCTTCGTCCGGATAAATTCCGGAACACGTTATCCGGATGTTTGTATTCAGACAGAAAGGTCTTACGGACAGAGTCCGGAACATTTCCGTTTTTCATGGCCTGTCTGAAGGGGGCTTCTGATGCATTCAAACACACAAACATTTGTACTGGTTGAGTCTTGTGTTTCACCTCTTGCTATGCGACAGTACCCTCAGTGTACTTCTGATTCACAGTATTTTTGTGTAATTTGTATTTATAGCTCATAAATAACTTGTAGTTTTGTTCATTTCCTTTTTTTAACAGGAATCTTCTGAACTGTCAGGGCTGAAATCAGGGTGAAAAAAGTGGCCTATAAGCTATTTTAATTACTTTTTAAAAATTGCACCAGAGCTTTGGCCAATATTACACTTTTACTTTATTATGAATTTTTAAAAGTCTCACCATGTCTGCCCTTATTCTCCTTTAAAAGGCTTTAAGTATCATGTTCTTGTCCTTGTTTAGGACTCAGATCAGAATTGGGCCTTTGCTGGTAGTTTAAACAGTTTACATGACATTAAATGGTGTCATTGGTGAAAGTCTGCTTTGATTGTCCGCCCGAGGGTGATCAATGCAGGAGGTAATCCGTAAGTCCGTTCAGTCAGGTGGTTTAGAAACAAGCATGCTTAAATATGGCCTGTCTTTGATCAGACAGCACAGCTGGGAATCACCAACAATCACCTGCATCGGCAGCAGGGATGAAAGCCCACGTGTGTGAAATCTGTTAGCCTTGTACTCAGTTCTCTAAACGTTGAGGTCAGGACGAGCAGAAACGGAGCTGGTGCCAAGATGTGGTCCTACATGTGTGTTCTGCTTTTTTGTGCAGGGGACTTCAAGAGGAGATTACCCAGAACCCCTTCCACGGGCACCATGTCGTCTGCTGATGACCTGGATGACCGAGAGCCTACGTCTCCTTTGGATAATGGTGAGTAGAATACAATTTTGCTTACATTACTTGTATAAGATGAGGATTTTATTTGTTTCATTAGCAGTAAAATGTATTTGTTAGACCGTGTCGTTCTATTTTTGCTCTTAAGGTTTAAGCGAGATGGTAATAGAGAGCGCCAGCTCCCCAGGACCTTTCAGAAACACCCAAATGTCCAAAGCAGCTCAAACCCACAAGCTGAGGAAGCTTCGAGCGCCCTCCAAGTGCAGAGAGTGTGACAGCCTGGTGGTGTTCCATGGAGCAGAGTGTGAGGAGGTAACCGCTTCCTCTTCTGAACATTTTAAAGTTGCCAAAGTTGCACTCCGGCTTCTTTACAACTCACTGCAGCCAAAATATTAAAACCAAATCAAAGGAAAAGAAGCCGCCTCTCTTCTTTTAAAAATGAAGAAAAGAAAAAGGAAAACTGGCCACAACTTCTCCTCTGAGACCAGACTTCTTCCAGTTGGAGGAAACCGAAGAGCTTTTGTTTGTCCTTTCCATCATCCCTGTGCAACCTTCTCCTCTGTTGACTTTAGATCACGTTTCTGCCCATGTTTATTAGATACACACACATGACAGCAGCGGAGAGGTTACTGGAATAATAGATGATGTAATGCTGGTAAAGAAATTCGGCTCGCTGCTGGTTTTCATGTTGGCATTTTGGATTTTATCCAAAGCTCCCAACAAATGGTTATCAGGGTTCTATTTGTGTCAGCAGATTTACGCATTTCCTCTTTTAAAAAGGCCAGCGAGTGTTTTTGTTCCATTCCACCTACATGCTCAATAAAGGAAGTCAAAAAGAGTTTATTTTTTTACCTTAAAAGTTTGAATCTCCTGTTTGTTTTCTGCCCTCCGTTTAGAAAATTTGTTTCTATGTTGCCTGCAGTGTTCTCTGGCCTGTCATAAGAAGTGCCTGGAGACTTTAGCCATTCAGTGTGGTCACAAGAAGCTCCAGGGAAGGCTTCACCTGTTCGGCATCGACTTCATCCAGGCAGCCAAAAACAGCCCGGACGGCGTCCCGTTCATCATACGCAAATGCACTTCGGAAATCGAGAACAGAGCGCTCAACATGAAGGTATTTTTATTCCACCTGTAAAATTCAATCGGCAGTTTAATGGGAGGATTCAGATTCTTGGTTTGACAAGTCTAATAATAGCTAGAGAAAGGCAGATTGATGTCATTGATTAGGCAAAAGAATTTTATTTTCATCTCAACATAGTCCCAGAATGTGATTTTTTATGTCTTCATGTACACTGTCAAAAATAAGGGCACGTAAATGGTACGTTGTTGTGCCCCAAGGGACAAAAATGACATTATTCAGTCTAAGGACTAATATTGGACCTCAGGGTATCTATCTGTTCCCTTTATGTTATCTGTTCCTGTTATGTTGTCTTAAAGGTACATATAAGTTCCTTAGTAGTAAAAAAGTACACATTTGCAACAATTTTTTCAAAAGGTTCAATTTCTGGTACATTCTCTTTCACTAAAAACCAACCTGCAAATAGATGTCATAGTTTCCCTGTTCGTCATTTTGTAAGCACTGGAAGATCATTGTAAACTTATTTGTTGGATGAAAAAAAAATTAACAATACATTTAAATAACGTGCTAACTAATTAAATATTTTTGAAAGGAGACAGTGTGGCTGAATTTTCTTTTGGAAGAGTAGATCACAAATCGGATCACAAATGCTTTTCTAATGTGTGTGTGAAGCTCCACAGTGGTGTAGTGGTTAGTGCTGTTGCCTTGTAAGTAGGAAGTTCTAGGTTCACATCCTGGTTAGCAGTCTCTCTGAATGTACTTCTGTGGGTGTTTTTGTACTTTAAATTAAGGGTACAAATGTGCTCTCTAATTGTACCCCTAAAGGTACAATTCTCAGGGTATCCGCGGGTCCTTAAAAAGTCTTAAATTTACTTTTCCAAATTTAAGGCCTTAAAAATCCTTAAAAATTACAAATAATCATTAAATACAGTTTCCAAAGGTCTTAAATGACCAAAGACCCAATAAACAAGAAATTTTTATTTCTATAAAATTTTCGTGAATTTCTAGTTAGTGTTCAGCATTTTATGTTTATCATATTTTCATAAGCGGAACTGTACACATTCAGTTGGTTGTGAAAGAGGGCTATTTTTAGATGAGCACATTAGCTGGTTAAGCTAGTGGGAGCTTGCGCCATGGGGAAGTACAAGTTTAATGGTAACTGGATGGTTAATCCCACGTTCGCGACGTGGTTAGCACCGGTTTCAGGCAATAGCTGGAAATTATAGCTTAAATGAAATTTAAAAAAATAGCTTAAATTTGGTCAAAGTGGCCTTAAAAAAAGGTCTTTAAAAGTCTTAATTTTGGCTCCCTTAAACCTGCAGATACCCTGAATTCTGTACTTTAATTTCTGAGTGTGTAGGATACGAGTTTCTCACCTTTGTTCCGCTAGTCTGATGTTTGAACCGAATGAATACTCATAAGCTGCTTTTGAAAAGTCAAAATAAAGAGTTTACCAGTTCCGTGCCGTTCCTTTGTGCTGCCCGTTGATATTCCACAGCCGTCGGCGCCTCTATAGTGAGTGAGAGAAGAGCTGAGTTTTCTGTGCTGAAAGCATTTTGTTTCTGTGCTCTGAAGGGAATCTACCGTGTCAACGGAGCCAAGTCTCGAGTGGAGAAGCTGTGCCAGGCCTTCGAGAATGGCAAGGACCTGGTGGAGCTGTCTGACCTTTACCCCCATGACATCAGCAATGTTCTCAAACTCTACCTGAGACAGGTGGGCGGCTTCCTGACAATACTGCCTTGATTTTATTGGTTAGGAAAATATTTTTGTATTCTTTCTCTGATGAAACTGTTTATTCATATCTATTTTTATCAGGTGTAACCCACACAATGTCCAGAGATAAACCACATTTAGGTTGATCTTTTCTTTTTATTAACTTCTCTCCAGCTTCCAGAACCACTCATCCTCTTCCGTTACTATAACGACTTTGTCGGTTTGGCGAAACAAAGCCAAAGCATCATCGTGGAGGAGCTGGAGGCGTCGCGGCTCAGTCCAAGCTCTGTGATGCCGTCCCAGGTCAGCGTGCAGCTCAGCCGGGTGCTTTTCAAAATCAAAGATCTGCTACGACATCTGCCTCCGGCTCATTACAAGACTCTGCAGTTCATCATAGAGCATCTGCACCGGTATGGAGGGCTGCAGAACATGAAAACATGAACTTCTCAGACTCAGTCTTTAATAACTGTGTTTTTTCTTGTTCCTCTCAGGGTGACAGAGCATTCAGAGGAGAACAAGATGACAGCCAGCAACCTGGGCATCATCTTTGGCCCAACACTGATCAAACCGAGGCATGCAGACGCCGAAGTCTCCCTCTCCTCCCTGGTGGATTACCCCTACCAGGCTCTCATTGTGGAGCTTCTGATCAGACACTACCAGATGATCTTTGACTCTCCCCCCAGCCCTGTTGGCAGCACCTCACCTACAGATGTAGACTCCCACCTGACCATGCAGGAGAAGGAGCAGCGGCTGAGTCGCCACTCCAAGTCTCTGGGAGACATCAAGGAGGTGAATACTCCCATCAGTTCCTGTTCAATGCATGGCATCCATTTAATAACCAGCTCATTTGTTTCCCGTTTAAGGTGAAATTATGAGTTGAAGCTTTGTTTCTAACATCATTCTTCTCACAGCAGAGCTCTAAGGTGTTCAAGAGACATTCCTCCATAATTCCTTCTTCTCATCTGCTGGCTGAGGTTCAGGAGTCCATGCCAAACCTCGACGGAAGTGACTTTGAACCTGGTCAGTGTTATTGCAACTTTTTTATATAAATCCTTACTTTTAGCATCTATTCTATGCTGCCGAACAAATTAACAGTTAACTTTAAAGATCTTTCTGTTTTAGCGGACGAAGTGGACTCTGGACCCCTAAATGGAATAAAAACATCGAGCCTTTCTGAGATCTCAAAGCCAAGTGAGAAAGGTCTTTTTCGCTCTCAGCATGTCGCCATCACCAGGGTTCAGCTTCGACACCCTCGCAGCAGGCTCTGTTCCCGACCGGTGAGCATGCCGGCTGAACGGGTTGTAAACCAAGTACGCGTGGACGAGAATAACTCCCGGAACAACGACGGACAGGACAGCGGGAGAGGAGGAGGAGGAGGAGGAGGCTGTGACCAGTGCATCGAAGAGGCGGACGAGACGGAGAACGCAAAAGCACGTGCTGGCACACATTACCGGAATACGTTTATTGACACACAGACGCTAAGGAGGACATGGGACAAACAGTACAAGTACGAGGCTTCCCGAGCCTCCAGACAGGCGTCCAGTTCCCTCTCGGAGAGCGAGGCGGTGGATTCCAGCTGCTTATCGTCGTCGGTGCCACCCTGCCTCTCCCTGGGAAATGCAAAGAGCGCCGTCAGCCCCATCTACCCCAACAGACCCTACACGGTTGCAGTGCGACCCAGCAGAACTTTAAAGAAGGAGGACCTTTCAACCAAGTACAACACAGTTGCAACTGTTTTCCGAGCTCCCAGAACTCTCCAGCCTCCTCCAGGAACTTTCTACAAGCCCCCACCAGGGAGCAGAGCCAAAGTGCTGCAGAACTGTGCGTTAGCTAACAGTGCTGAGGACGAAGATGAGGAGGAGGATGAAGAGGAGCTGGGGATCGAGATAGAGGTGTCGGTAGATGAGCCTCTGGAGGAAGACATTCCTGCTGAGCGGGAAGATGACATTTGTCAGTCATCCAGTTCCAGCCCTGAGGATCTGGGCCCAAACCAGACCAAACCCGTATACCAGAGACTACGACCCAGGCGCCTCCAAGAGGTGGAACACAGAGAGGCTCATTTTGTTTAATTCACAAAGTGGTTAACGCGTGCCATTTTACTCTAGTAAAAAGCCTAAGAAGCTTCAGACTGTAAAGAGAATGAGGAGCTGCGCGATCAAAGGACGTGAGTGAAAAACCGGACTTGTTCGTCTACGTTTGGTTCTCAGACGGCAAACAGGATGCACTTAAAATGTCGCAGAGTTTTAAAGCAGCTCTGCACCTCATCACGATGTACAAAACTGTGCAATTACGTTTTTCTGTCTCCGTATTTTGTATAATGTGTTAAAGACTCACTGTATATATGTGCGTGTATACCAAAAAAAAAAAACCAGACTCGGCGTGAGTTGTAATATTAGCGTGTAAACCGTAGCCACGACACTGAAGGAAATTCTGTGCTCTCGCGCTGACATGAACACTCTCCTGTTGGAGTTGTCCCACCTGCTGTGAGTAAGAGTGTTTAAACTGTTACAAGATTAACCATTTTGATCAAAATGTTTTGTAAATAAAGCTAAACGGTGGCCTTGGACGTGCGCTGTTAATGCACGTCTCTTCTGATGTTCAGGCAGGAGATTCATCCACGTAGTTTCATTATTCAGAACCTGAAAAGTGTCAATTTGTCTGAAATATTTTTTTATAAATGCCTCTGATGTCTGCTCTGGTATCGCTTTTACACGTTTTTAATATAACACTGAATATGTCTCCGTCGCCAAAGCTGTTTCTGTTTATATCTCATCAGTAACCTAAATCTTACAGGTTTATTGTAAGTAACACCAAGTGCTTCGTTTATTTAAGTGGTATCTGTTTTTTTCACAGCAGGGCACCAGGTAAACACGGTGTTAGTAAGTTCAGTGTAAAAAGTGAATAGGTACACGATAGACACCTTTTTGTAACTTATTAAACATACCTGGAAATGAAATAATTACAGGTCTGCTTGGTTCTTTCACAATTTGTAATGGTTTTAATTGAGATTTACTCTTTTTTAGTTTGTGGTGTTACTTTAACAGGTTTGCATGGTTTAACCCCCAAGCTTTCATTTGATGTTATTTTATTTAGACTTTATTTGATTGGTAGGATCTATTTTACATGACCTGTATTTGTATAGCGCCTTCTTAACCTTCTACAACCCCCCAAGACACTTTAATCAGTCATCCACACGTTCACATTCTGGTGATGATGAGCTACGTTGTAGCTACAGCTGCCCTGGGGCGCACCGATGGAGGTGAGGCCTATCGAAAAAATGGCGCCACTGGTCCCTCTGACCACCACCAGCAGGCAAGGCGGGTTTAGTGTCTTGCTCAAGGACACAACAATTAACAGTCTATAGTTCAAAACTGTTATTACTGATCAGAAATAAATGTTTAAAAAAATAACAATGATTTCCAAATCTCCTTAACAAAGAACATCAGGTCTAAGTTGAGCAAGCTTGGTCACTGCTGAAGCATCATCCTCTGCTCGGACTCCTGTCCCTGAAGGTTACTCTGGTAAAAGTTCAAGTCCCGTTAGTCGTCACACACTGGTGAAAAGTTTTGTCCACATTTGACCGATCCCCTGGAGGAGTGGTGAGCTGCAGACATGGTCACACTCAGGAACCATTTGGTGGTTTAACCCTCCAGTGGAAGCCCTTTATGCTGAGTGTCCTTGGTATGGCTAGACCATGGTTTTGAACCCACCATCTCTCAGTCCCAGCACAGACACTCATACCACTAGGCCAGTTTCAAAGCATTATGTGCTCTGACTGCACAACTAACATTTTCCTTTTACACTCGTGGAGGATTTTCAACCCTCCCACTGTCTTTATGGGTGACCCCGAGAGGAAAGTTGAGGTGGTGCTCACTCCTCACCCCTGCCACGTGGACCTCCAGGGATAAACCATCAACCCTGCTCAATGGTCAACTTTCCTCGCGAGGTCACCCATAAAGACAGTGGGAGGGCTAGTGATGTAATGATGCTGGTCAAACCAACACACCTAAACAAGAGCGAGGAACGGCTACCCAGAGCTTTATTAGATGAACTTTGAATTTAAATTGTAAATTTTAATTTCCTATGTTCTGCTGACTAAACATTTGACATGAAGCACTGTTAATAACTGGATGATGGTGTCTCATGGTGGTTGGGAGAGAAATGGAAGCAGGGCGTGAGGCGTCTCCCAGGCCAGCGCCGACGAAGTAGATTAAATCAATCGGCTTAACTGTTCACAAGGTCTGGAAACAAGCTGCATTAGCAACCACAAGGAGCTCTCCGGAAGATGTGCTGTCATTCATTTTTATGTATTGAGAGTGAATCTACAGGGCAGGTGTTCCGCTGAGGTAAGTCATGCTGCTTTGTTGAAGATTGTTACTTAGAGCCACTGTGTCTACGTACTTGTAGGAAGATGGTAGCTGTAAAGTTGTATAACAACGACACTTTTTAAAAGTTATCCTTGAATAAATGTTACAGCAAAAGGGGAAAACGTGTTTTTGCTGACACGAACCACTAATTAGGGTGGCAGCATATATATTTAAAGAGGAAGATTCTGTAACAGCTCGGCTATAGTGTCTTGAGCTCATTAACCTCATTACTGAGCTATTGCTAGCTTTCACATGGAGCTTTCACTCCGTAAATGGGCACACAGATCTGTAATGAACACAGCTCTCTCCCAGTTACGAGTGAGTGAAACAAAAGATGGCTTCCTCTGGCCCTGCAGATGATTATGGTCTGGTTGAATGCAGGTTTGTTGGTTGGAGCCAGCCTCAGTGGGGGTGAAGAAGAGGCAGCATGAGGTCAGGAGGACAGGTCAGGCTCCTGCTGTGGAAGAACTGGACCATCCGCAGGAGGCAGAGGGTAATATATTCTATTGTTTAAGAGGAAGCTGGACCAGCAAGTTTGGCAAATTGGATGGAAGTCATGAGTCCGTAAAACACCATCTTCTATTAAGTTTATTTGGATAGCCCCAAATCATGACAAGAGTCATCTCTTGGCACTTCATCAAGTAGACATTCCTACTGAGCTCAGTTCGCTATGCCAGTTAGTTACGTTTCCTAGTTGAGGAAACCCAGCAGATTGCATTAAGTCACTAACTTGTGTCAGGGACAGCGGAGAGAAAAACTCTCTTTTAACAGGAAGAAACCTCCAACAGAACGGACCCATCTGCCATGACTCACTGGGGGTTTAAGAAGGCAGCATGCAACCTACATACCAAGTAGTGTTTCTATAACTGCATGCATTACAATTTCTTAGTAGAGATTCTATTTCCTGACAAAATAAACTTTATTGTCTTTATCTGAGTGAATCTAAGTAATTCAACAGGTGAACTAGTTGTAGCACATTCCAAATATCGGAAGAGGGAGAATGTTCAGCGGCTGGCAGTAGTGCGCCAGCTGATGCTCACCTCCAGGAGGCTACCACAGCTCAGCAGAACAGCAGTTTAGCTTTTCTAGGTAGAAAACACTTAAATAAGGGTAGTGGTAGAAGAAAGTAGCATAATGTGGAAAGTGGTCAGTATATCCTCAGAAAGCATAAGCCTATAGCAGCATAACTACATAAATAACCCAGGATAACCTAGCCTTTAAAGCGGAGGCGTGTATATTGTATACATGTTTCAGCATTTCTCATTTTCCGGGATGCAACAGTTTACTCGGCTGCAAACAGAATCTGTGAAATAGGCATAACTTTGTGAAAGAACTCTAGCCCTGGATTTAAACCCATTCAACTCACTCTGACAACAATCAATAGAACAAAGTTCCCCCTCATGAAGCTGGCTGTTCTTTCAGGTGCGTTTCGTCATGGAGATCGTATGGCCTGCTACTCTGTTCATGGGACTGATGTGGCTCAGAAGTGTGAACCCGCTCTATCGTCAACACGAATGTGAGACAAGATCACCTCGTTCCTTAAAAGTTTTGAAAAGGTGCCCTTGAGCAAAGTTTTAGGAGGACCTCTTCTTCCTCAGGCCACTTCCCTAACAAGGCCATGCCCTCGGCTGGTGTCCTGCCGTGGATACAGGGAATCTTCTGCAATGCCAACAATCCTTGTTTTCAGTTCCCCACCCGCGGGGAATCTCCTGGCCTGGTGTCCAACTACAACAATTCCATGTAAGCATTTTCAAGACAAGAATAGTTTGAAACCTGGGGTGGAGCATTTCCACTTAGCGGTAAGTCTTAGAAAAATAGACAGAGTTAAATAAAGAATTCAAAGAAAGTGAGTAATGCTCCAGACACATTAATGCAAAGCTGCAATATAAAGTACCTGTGTGATACAGTCTGGTAACTTTCATTGACCTCTCCCCCCAGACTGGCACGGTTCTACTCGGATGCCAAAGAGCTTCTTTTCAGTGACCCAGAGTTTCTGCAGGTCGGTCGCCTCTGGAGGGAACTGAACGCTATGAGTCACTTTATGGACACGCTGCGCAGTCATCCTGAAATGGTCTCGGGTCAGTGCTCAAGGCTTTCATCAACATCCTGCAAAACCATGAAAAAAGACTAATTTAAGCTGTTTTGCGTATTCATTTTTAACGTGTTTTTATTTACCCTTGTTTGTAGTCCAGAAGGTCCAAATGAGATCAGTGCTTCAAAATAAAAGAAACAACATAAAAACGAGTTCACATATTTTTTAGCAAATGAAAATTAGAATACATGCAGGGTGGGAAATAAAATCGGAACCATACCAGCAATACCTGTTCAGACTTATGAGGTAGTGTGATGTGATTCAAACAAGTATTCAAATAACACCTTTGCCAACCCCCCCCCCCCCCCCCCCCCCCCCAAAAAAAAAAAAACAGTAACATATGAATTTTCAATCTCTATTCCACCCTAAATATACATAGAGTGTGCAGTGGTGAATGTGTGATCCTGCATGCATTACAAACTCAAAGCTGCATGATCTACAGGGCCCATTCTCCACAATGCACACAGAAAGGACATTTTATACAGCTTTCTTTTCTGGCTACCATGACCGTGGGAATTCACTTTTGGGTCTAAGTTTGGTTGTCTGTTAACAGTCAACATTATAGTCAATTACAGTTTTATCAGAGATTGTGGTGGTGAATGACAAGCATTTACAAAAGCTCTATGGCTTTTGTAAATGATCATGTCATAAACATGTAGGATTTAGTTCTGAGGCATTTACAATGATGGAAAATATGATGGTAATCAGAATGGACCCCTGAGGAATACCAGTAGTTAATAGAGGCTGATGTTAAGTTTTCTTACATGACACACTTAGTTCTCTCAGGTTAACAGAAATCTAAACTGAAGTTACTGCCGCAACTTTTTTTTAGTAGTTTTAAGTTTTAACACATTCCCTCCATAATTACACTAAGTCTTTAAATGCAGGTCTATTCCTGTCAGGTGATCTTTAAACTTTTGTACACATAAGATAGCATTAGACCGTAGGATCTTAGGGTCAACCCAGACCTTGTTTCACCTCACTTTCCTGTCTGCCTGTCTGGATAGTTTAACACCATTATAGCAGACAGGTTTAGGAAAGTAAGCTGCTTATTTTGCCACTAGAATGTTTGTTTGACAGACAGGTAGCTGTTCATGAGCCACCTTTTGACCTCTCAATAAGTATATCAACACACTGCTCCTGTCTTAAAGGGGGCCGCTCCTTTTTACCTCATTTCCTCACTGAAAAAAAAACCCGTTCATGATAGGAGTGGAATGACAGCGAGAACATTCCTGAATGTGGACCGTTGTGTCGTTCTGCTTTTCTCATGGAGAGCTACGTAGAATGACTAACAGAGCTAAAGGAGATATGGATTCACATTCCTCTCAAGTTCCCATGATTCCAGAGAAAGTGAACTGAATTGCTGTGAGAACAAGGTCAAACAATGGGCAAATTTGACTCACAGCTGCTCATTTAACCCCCCAAAAGTGTTTGATTTTGTTAACGTGGTTATTTTAATACATGTATATGTGCAGAATTCCTCATTCCCCAAAAAGTCCATCTTGATTTTGAAACTCAGCTCATTCTCTATTTTCACATCCTCACTTGCTTTGTTTGACATTATTTGTTGTTTCCTGTGGATGCATCACTAGGCAAGATCATCGAAGGCAGAACCTGGACAGAAGCCAAAAGCGCACTTTGTCTTGCAAAGTAAACTTCTTTCAAGCACAGGCAGGCCAATGGAAACAATGCTACAGTGTGGAGTTGGAAGAGTTGGGAATTCTTCCTCCTGTGTTCCACTTCCTCTAATGAAAGCCAGTTTGTGGCAACTTGTCCAGAATATGTGTTAATAGGAATCCAGATTTTTCCACCTTAACCAGTTTTTCCTCTTTGCAAGTTAAACAGAAGTTTAACCGCACATGGATGTACCAAGAAAATGAGTAAAATCAAACAAAACTCGACTCTGTGTCTTTTGGCAGGTCGAGGAGTGAAGGTGGAGACGATCCTGAAGGACGATGAGACCTTGACGTCATTCCTGCTGAGAGACATTCCTCTGACAGAGTCTGTGGTGTATCATTTAGTTAATGCCCAGATCAGGCCTGAACAGGTACTCAGACATTAGCACACACACACACACACACGCAAACGCACACGCACACACACACACACACACACACACACACACACGCACACGCACACGCACACACACACACACACACACACACACACACGTATAATACAACAGTAAATAAGTACCACATTCAGTCTGAGACAATCATCTCAGTGCCATGATCCAGGATGATTGCTAATTATTCATATTAAGCTCAAACGTCTGCAGTGATGACTTTAATGGGAAAATTGTGTGAAGATGGAGCACAGTTAATACTAAATGCCACATCCACAAAGTCCTTGAGCCCAATGGCCTATTCCCTTTTGGAGTTTCTTGGAGCAGAAAACTATTAATGGCATTAAGGAGATTTGTGTAAAGTTGCTGACACATTTAGTCAGTGGCTCGATACAATCTGCTGGGTTTCCTTAAATAGGAAACTTTTAAATTACTGGCATAATGAACTGAACTCGGTGCACTGATAAGATCCATATGGTGGTGCTCCACCGTACCTGGCAGCATTGTTACCACGGCACAACCCTTCACGATCTCTACGCTCAGCTGAGCTGGAGCTACTGACTGTTTCTCACTCCCGGTACAGATTTAGAGGAGATCGGGCTTTCCCGGGTCTTGGCTCCATTCCTCTGGAATGAGTTGCCACTCAGCATCAAACAGTCACCCTCACTCCATGTCTTCAAGAGTCGCTTGAAGACTCATTTTTATCATTTGGCTTTTATGTGACCTGGTTTTATGTTTATATATATATATGAATATATATTCTATCCTGCCTTTTTTATGTGGTTTTTAGGACTTTTTATCACTCTGTTTTTATGTTAATTTATGCTATGTTCAGCACCTTGGGCTTCCGTAGAAGCAGTGGAAGGCACTCTACAACAAATAAAGAGATTGATTGATTGATTGATGATTGATTGAAGAAGTTTCAATTGGATTGTTTAATCTATGAAGTGCCTTCAAACAACTGTTTTTGTGCTTTGGCACTATATAAATAAACTGAACTGAATGAGGGAAGTTTTAGAGGGCAAAGCTGCATAAGCAGACAGGCCTTAGGCTCCTAACTTATCATGACATTACAAAGGAGAAACAAAAAAACAGTAACATAGTTCTGAGTTATGCTGCAGAAAGAGAAAAATGGCTCTTCTTTCCACTTGAATGAGAAATTTCACATCAGGAATTCAGATGTTCAGAAAACTGAAATTTACAAAAGCTGTGTAGACTGGTACAAAGAGATAGAATGTCACAATGAAGCTGATGCTGTTGACTGCAAGGAAGCTCTCTCACATACTTCTGCCCAAAGGCAACATCCACATCGTCTGTGTGTGACACAGTTTACAGACACTTCTGTCTCTTGCCTGCTGGTTTCCAGTTTGCTTTCGGTGTCCCAGACTTGCACCTGAAGGACATTGCCTGCAGCCTCAACCTCCTAGAGCGATTCCTCATCTTCTCAAGCCTCAGAGGACTTTACGCCGTCCGCAACGCCATGTGCATCCTGACCCCACAGCGCCTGCAGATAATCGAGGACAAATTCTACGCCAATGTTGACTTTTTCAAACTTTTCCGACTGGTACGTTTTGATCTATTCTTAGACTTCAAAGCTTAATTTGACTTTATATTTTAGCTTTATTCCAAATAGCACACCAGGTTGAGATTGAATTAACCTTAACTTATAGCACGGTGCCCTAAAAAACTGATTTCTAAGAAACTCCGAAGCTAAAATATCCATTCACACACAATGTAAAAATCCCACAAATTGCTTTTTATGTGCAAAAACAATTGACGTTTTTTTAATCTCCATATCACATCGTGAGAAAACTTTACAAGCTAACATAGTTTTCTGGAACACACCACATGTTTTAGAGTCAGCTGACACAATGAATACACAGCTGGTTTTATTTTTCTAAGGACTGTGACTCACAGGGTGGAGCAGATGTTTTTCCAAGGAAATGCAGTTCAAGTAAACATGGCATTATGTTCCTGTCATGTAAAAATCGAAAATGTGTTTATCAAAGTATAAATATACATACCATTTAATATTTTAACATTCAAACCCACATGGTCTGGATAAAAAGAGACACAATTTGTACAAATGGCTGAAAAAGGTGCAGCAGCTAAAAGAACCACAGATATTTCCAATAAGCTGTAAACATTAGCTGAGCAGACAGATGGTCCCTTCCTAATATTGGCTAAGTGTGACATGTTTAGTAACGAGTTGCCAAAGAAAAACGACGCCTGCCTCATCTTCATCGAGGCACAGAACCGTGGAGCTGTGCCGGAAGGCCTTGGTATATCTGACCATGTCTGTTCAGAAGCAGTGAAAAGCTTCTTTACCTCTCCGCATCACATCTCCTTTTGTTATGCTTCTAAATGTTTGGTGTCATCGGCTGCAGCTGCTGACTAGTGTGTGGCGCTGAATATTGTTATTGGATGTAAGAAGTTTCCCAGCCGGACTGGGAGATAACAAAGAGGAAGGATGTTTCCGACAAAAAACAGAGTGTCTTAGCTTCATGCAGCTTCCTGAAGCTTTATCTTATTGTCTTGTGGGCTTTCTGGAAGCTTTCTTGGGAAAACCGAAGCAGTGCTCAAGACAGCGGAAAGCAAAAAGAAAAAAAAAACAGATGTCATTTTTCCAGATGTTTCCACAGCTAATTGTTTATTGATTAACTTTGTACTGAACTAGCCTAACTATGCAGTTTTAAAAACAGCCTTCTATGTTGCACAGAAGTCAAATTTAAAATGACCTTTAACCATGGGTCTTTTATCAGAGTTCTGTCTGGGTTTTTCCTACACAATTATAAATAATTCATGAAGGCTTAATAAATCTACCAGAGATGCTATATGGGGATCTTTTTGTCCTGCTTTTATTTTGGTAAGCCACTTCATTTTTCACAGCAGTCTGACTTTTTAAGCTGGCTAACGATTTTATTCAAAATCATAAAGTTTATATTTAGATGTCAGTATTTATAATTGAACATATTTAGGTTGATATATTTATATTTGATTCTAAAAAAACTGCATGGTGGCACAGTGGTTAGCACTGTTGCATCGCAGCACGAAGGTCGCAGGTTCAAAACTCGCCTTTCTGCGTGGAGTTGCGTGTTCTCCCCATGCATGCGTGGGTTTCCTCCGGGTACTCCGGTTTCCCCCACACATCACAACATGCCCTACAGGTTATAAAAAAAAAAAACAAAAAAAAAACTTGTACGTCGTTTTGGATAAAAGCGTCTGCGAAATGAATAAACATAAAACACCAAAGAGTTCCCGAGCCCAGCCACAGCTGCAACTCACCGCTCCAGATGTGGGTCACATGTGGAGATGTGTGTAATTTCACCAGTGTGTGATGATGACTATGGGATTGAATATTTATTTGTTCTCTTTGGGATACTCACAATCAACTTTCCACAGTTTTTATTTAAAATATGTTAGTTTTATAAGAATTACAGAAATTTTATATTAAAAAAAAGCTTTAACTTAGTGTTTTTATTTATTTGAAAAAAAAATTTGACGTCATTGATCACTTAAGGTTACGTCGAAAATTAAGTCAGTATGGAATAAGAGGTGTGGCTCATCAATGGGTTAAAACTTATTTAGAAAAAAGGAAACAGTTTGTTCAGATAAAGGACCATAAATCAAAACTATGTGATATTAATTGTGGAGTGCCACAAGGGTCGGTCCTCGGACCAAAACTGTTCATTTTGTTTATTAACGACTTGGTAAATGTATCTAAGACACTCGGTACCATTCTGTTTGCAGATGATACAACACTGTTTTACTCAGGATCAAATATTGAGGAGGTGGCTAAAGTGATAAATGATGAACTGATTAAAATTAAAAACCGTTTGATATAAATCGATTGACACTGAATCTTAATAAAACAAATTTCATACTGTTAAATGATAAAAAGAACAGCGATGTGCCACTGGAAATAGATGGGATTGCAATTCAAAAAGTAAAATAAACTAAATTTCTTGGAGTTCTTATTGATGAAGACTTGTCATGGAAATCCCATATTAGTTACATATAAAAGGTAAAATTGCCATATCCTTAGGAGTATTACATAGAGTCAAGTTTTTACTGACTAATGGTTTGTTGGCATCGTACAAGTCACTGATTGTTCCTTACCTGAATTATTGTGTAGAAATCTGGGGAGCAACATGCAAAAACTATACACAACCCTTAATAATTTTACAGTAAAGAGCTCTGAGAATCATCAATTACAGTGGCTGTAGAGATCCATCGAACCCTTTGTTTATGAAATATGAATGACTGAAATTTCATGATTTAAAAGACTGGAAAATCATACAAACCACGTATAAAGCCAGTTTAGGTACTCTGCCAACAAACATTCAGGGGATATTTGAAAAGAGAACTAGTAATTACATGCTGAAAGAAACTGATGTGTTTGCAAAACCTAGATTTAGAACTAAAATTAAGGAAAGGAATACATCTGTAAATGGTGTTAAATTATGGAATAACCTTAAAAGGGAAATAAAAAAAAACTCTGCCATTCTGTCATGATCCTGCCATGCCCTGACCTCCTTGCACCATTATTCATCTCATCAGCCGTCATGCTTCACACCTGGTCCTCTCATCAAGCCCTAGTCAAACCCTGTTTCCACAGCAACCCCAGCCTGCATCTCATCAGCTTCATCCGCTTCACCTGCTCCTGACTCCTCAGCTCATCACACACACCTGCGTCCCCTGCTACTTAAGAACCAGCCATCCAACCATTCAGTGCCAGATTATTGAATTCCCACGCCAGTAAATCTTCCAGCCTTTTTCATCCTGCCTGATCACAACCTCCTGACCTTGTTTCCACGCCTGACCCTTGCCAAGAACTCTGCCTGCCTCCACGACCCTCGCCTGTTCACCGTCTCTGTCTCTAGCCTCGCCCTTAATGGGTGACGCCACGTCTTAGCTCCTGGCTAATAAAGACTTTTAAAGTGCCTTACTGTGTCTTGGTGTCCTCAAGGGTGCTCAAGTTCCGCCCGTTACACATTCAATAGATTCAAAAATGTACCAAATTGAGTGTACTAATTTTATGCAAATGTTAATTAAATCAATGATCATGATCACTCTGGAGTTATGAACAGGAAAAAGTTCAAAATGAATCTATGTGTGTCTGACAAATGGAAATTGTATAGAGGTAGATTATTTCTTCTGGAAAAGGGGGCAGAAATAGATGTTTTTCTTCATTCTGCTCCTTTTCGTTCAAATTAGATTTTTTTTGTTATGTATATCTTGTTTATATGGTTTTTGTTTTTATTTTGAATGAAATAAATGAATGAAAAAAAGTTAACTTAGTTATGCAACAGTAACACGAGAATAATGTATTTAACCCAAATTTGTGTTTCTCGTTAGCTCCCTCGAGTTCTGGACAATTACTCTGATGGCATCGACATTCACTTCTGGGTCCGAGTTGTCTCTGCTGCTTCAGACAAACTACAAGAGGTAAAGAGACGGTGTGTGTGTGTGTGTGTGTGTGTGTGTGTGTGTGTGTGTGTGTGTGTGTGTGTGTGTGTGTGTGTGTGTGTGTGTGTGTGCGTGTGTGTGTGTGTGTGTGTGTGTGTGTGTGTGTGTGTGTGTGTGCACGCAGTAGCTTCCATTCAAATGTTCACTGCTTCCTATTTTTAGCTAACAGGAAACAGTTGCGTCCGCTTGCCTGAGTTTTTACACAAACAGACACTAGGGGACAATTTAAAGTGCATGTTTGGAAGGCTAAATCCAGAGTTGGTCTATTTGCCATCAGAATGATGCAGAACTCATTATTGGACGATCCCAAAGCATGTTTTCTTTTTTAGAATAACTTTTGTCAGCGCCACTGCATTTTATCACAGAAAAAACACGCATCTACACTCTTTCCCCACTGTAAGGAGTGCATAAAGGATTTTGTTTTGGAGTGTTCTTGTTTGCACGAGACATTAATTGTCGTTGACATCCTGACATCCTGTTGGTCAGATAGTTATCAGAACTGCAGACATGTTTCTCTTGAAGCGGAAGATGTAAATGAATCAGTCAGCTCTTTTCCCATGAATCAGACAGGAAACATCTATAAATTATTTAGAGTGCAGGTTATCGTCCAAAAATTTAACAACGTATTTCGTCAGATTCATTCAGACTCAAAAAGTGGTTTGGCAGAAAATGACAACACTCTTATTAAACATGAAATCTAAAGACTCATCTTCTTTTCTCTTTTGCTCTCCTCCCAGTTATTCCACAGGAGTAGCTCCAGGGAGCTCCTCCAGGTGATAACTCCTCTCTTCCAGAGGAATCTATCCTTCAGGGAGATGATGGCTGCTGCCTCCAGCCTGATCTGTGGCTACACAGAGGGAGCGTTCTCCCGGGTCACCTCCTTTAACTGGTATGAGGACAATAACTACAAAGCCTTTCTGGGTATTGGCAGCGGTGGCGCTAGAGGCATCTACATGTACGACAACAGTACCAGTGAGTTGAACCTGAATCTCTTCATTAGGACCATTTATCAGAAGATCACCTAATAAATGATTAAAAGGTTTAGTAGAAGTGACACTGGACACATGCAAACAAATGTATAATTTCAGCTCATAATATGTAAGACGTCCCAAAACTAACACATCATTTGGAATGGTAAAGTTAGGGTTCGGAAAATTAATTATTTTGTTGGAACAGTCCACTTGATTTGCCTCTTCACTATCTTACTTGACCTATTTTGTGATCATATTAATCTTTATTTCTCACAGCTCCTTTCTGTAATGATCTGATGAAAGAAATGGAGTCCAATTCCGCCACCAGGATCGTTTGGAACTCTGTCAAGCCGATGCTGATGGGACGAATTCTCTACGCTCCAGACTCACTAGCCGCCCAGCAGATCATACGAAATGTGAGCTACTAGATACTTACACTGATTGGAAGTCAAATGTAACTTCACTTCCTAACAATGGTTATCAAATCCTGTCCTCAAAGGCCACTGTCCTGCATGTTTTAGTCGTTTCACTGCTTCATCAAATACATCAGGCCTTTAAAAAGCCTCTGTAGAACTTGAAACGCTGAAGAATTGAGAAAACATCTAAAACATGCAGGACATTGGACTGGATTTAATATGCGCTGTACCAAACCTTACAGCAGGCATGTCCAAAGTGTGGCTCAGGGGCCATTTGCAGCACTCAGAGGGATTTTGTGTGGCCCTGGCATTTCTAAAATGATGTATGACTCAAGTTGGTTGTTCATGTAGATCAACACTGCCTTCAATTTTTAAGTTCAGATTTTTACTAAAATGTCTGTTATGGAGCATTTTGAATTTGCCCAAGTCCATATAGTCCAAAATTGATGTAAAAGCTGTTTCAAATGAGCTGTCGCCATCTTGTTCCACTCCATTGCATCATCTCGCCCACAAGACGAATAGAGGACCCTGATTAGCCCACAAAGCAGATAGAGTGCTGTGATTGACCCACTACTGTGGATAAATCACAGCACTTTATCAGTTTGAAACCCCAATAGAGAACTGACATTGGCCCGTTGGAATGCTGCTGGGGGCAGCCCTTTATTTTAAAGAAAGGGTGTATTTGCGTCTTTGACAGAGAATGGTAGACTGCCCCGTTGACTGATTTCTGTACCAATGAATAGGTCACATTGGTGTTGCTCTGACTGGTCCTAGCACTGTCCAATCGCACGTAGAGTAAGTAAGTAAGTAAAACTTTATTTATACAGCACTTTTCACAGATAAAATCACAAAGTGCTTCACAACATACATAAAAAGGCAAAACAGGACAGGAGCACAAGGTCAACTTACATAAAAGCTTGTCTAAATAAAAGTGTCTTCAGCTGCTTTTTAAAAGAATCAACCGAGTCGGCCACACGAAGAAACAAGGGCAGGGCGTTCCAAAGTCTGGGAGCAACAGCTAGGTCCCCTCTAGTTTTAAAACTGGTCTTCGGGACCTTCAGTAGGTTTTGACCCGAGGACCGTAGAGTGCGGCCAGAAAAGTGAGGGATTAAAAGGTCTGATAAATATTGTGGAGCTTCTCCATTAAGAGCTCAAAAAGTCAAAACTAAAATTTTAAAATCAATTCTAAACTTGACTGGTAGCCAATGTAAAGAAGATAAAACCGGTGTTATGTGAGCCCTTCTATTGGTTCCTGTTAAAAGCCTTGCTGCAGCGTTCTGGACCAACTGGAGACGACTGACATCTGATTTGTTAAAAGAAGTAAAGATAGAATTACAATAATCTAAACGAGAAGAAATAAAAGCATGGATAATCATCTCCAAGTCCGATTTTGAAGTAAAAGCTCTCAATTTGGAAATGTTTCGCAAATGATAAAAGCAGTTCTTTCCTAATTGTTTTGAGTTCAAAGACATGGATTGCTCAAAAAGAACACCAAGGTTTCTGAGACTGGTCTGGACTGAGGAGCTCAGGGAACCGAGGTGTTGTTTGATTAAAAACACTTTCTGTTCAGGAGCAATGATCAGTGTTTCGGTCTTGCTTGAGTTCAACTGAAGACAGTTACTGGCTAGCCAGTCCTTAATACGCTCAATGCAATCAAGTAGATCAGCTAGCTTGTTAAACTCTGTGTCCTTGAAAGAGCAGTACAGTTGAATGTCATCCGCATATAAATGGTAAGACACATTAGTAAAGCTTTTGATAATCTCCCCAAGAGGGCAAATATATAAAAGAAACAAAACAGGACCAAGGACCGAGCCCTGGGGAACACCGTGAAGCAATGATGTGAGACAGTTTGAATGACCAATGATAGATTCTGTCCCATGACTGAGCTCTGTCTATGAGTCGTTTATTTACAGAATGGCTTGCCAGGCTAAAAGCAAAACAGAACAACTGAGCAATCTAAGAATCATTTTGAATTATGTTCATGTTTATGTGCTTAGCAGACACTTTTACCCAAAGCGACTTACAATTTTTTTAACCTATAGGGCATGTTGTGAATTAAAAGTAGGACATAAAGCAGAAACAGGTCTCTAGCCACAGAGAAAAAGAAAATTATTTAGATAAACATCTGAAGTCGTAGGTAAAATTAAATGAATAATCTCACACAGATGACCACCCAGAGGTCTTTCTTATCCAGATCTTTGTTTTTCTTTGGAGTAGACTATTGCTGATGCTGTGAACAATGCTTAAAAAATGAAAAAGGGATCAGGTTTCTTCATGTCATGTCCAGCCTTTTGTATCTATGTAGATAAGCGTTTGTCAAATCCTTTTAAGAAGGGAAAGGAGGAGGGCAGCAGTCATGGTTGGGTTGGTCTCAATGAAGGACAGAGGCGGATGGCTGTGGTGGCTCCAATGCAACCCCTCTGGCTCCAAAGTCTTTCCTTAAAGGCCTGTGATCATGCATAGAAAGACGCTCACACCCTCATGTTTGCGACTACCCAACCTTTTAACGACCCCTTTGTTTTCCTGTTCCCTCAGATGGAATCTTAATTGCACTTGGAAAGTATGGGCTAAATCCATTACTTTACAAAAAAGAAAACACGGATCTATAAGCTTTATTGTTATCCTCTCATGTCATGCATCAGAATACTTGAACAAACTGCAAGGGGAGAACCGGTGTCAATGCATGCTATCTTATGTGACTGCTGTTGTGGAATGATGATCCACGAGGATTTATTTAATCAGAGTTGTAAAGTTTAATCATTCCTTTTGTCTGTGTTTTATTGTGTTGTTTAGTCCAAAATCTTTATTAAAAGGAAGTTAACCCTTCAACACCCTACATCTTAGCTCATTTTCACATTAATAAAACCACTTTAAGGAATCCACCAGCTCCCCTCGTCGCTTCTGTTGCCTGCTAGTTTGAACTGTCCTGTGGAACGAGGAAGTTGTCATTTGTGGGAACCTCAGGATTCACTGAATGCATTCAGCCGGTTGTCACCAACGGCCTCCATTGTCACCCCGGCTCTATTGTCCCCATTGTCACCCGAAATCAGACACACACAAGAGGAAGGCGTTTAATTGGGTGTACTCTTGAGTGCTTTCATCCCCCACTGCACATGGCTGAATGCTGGAGCAGCCAGCCTTGGGTACGCGCCACACAAAGCACTGTACACATCCCAGGGTTTGAGCGATAAGCGTGCAGTAAATATTTGACAATTTGGCTCTGAAAGTATTTGTTGCAGGTTATCTGTAAAGGCTCGCGGTAACTCTGTGTGAGAATGAGTGTGTGTTGGTCTTGCAAAGCTTGTTTTGCAGATTTTGATGTGGGAATGGTATGTAGCAGGAGATTAGGAGACACATGACTGTATGTGTGTGTTTGTCTTCTTGTTTGGAATGGGTGTCCGCTCCGTTTTCCTGTAAGCTGGATGAAACTGGAAGAAAAGTTTTGTGTTTCTCACATCCTTGTGTTTGTCTCTGTTTTAGGCCAATGTTACATTTGAGGAGCTGGAGAGGCTGAGGACGATGGGGAAGGCCTGGGAGGAAGTAGCCCCACAAATCTGGGCTTTTTTCCAAGATGGAGTCCAAGTCAAGATGATCCGGGTGGGTCAATAGAAAATTTGACTGAATGAGAAAGTTGTTGGGTCATCTTGCAATATGTACCAATAGTTTGTGAGACTTGAGATGCATATGGTAAAGATGATCCGTCCTGCCATTGCCATGAAGACGACATTTAATGCCCAACAATTGTCCCTGTGAACGAGGCGATAAATCATGTTTGTTCATCCTAAGATTTTTTTCTCATTTTATCTGGTTCTCAATAATTTTTCTTGAAAATTGAGCCTATCTTATATCTTCTCTCTAAAGATACCCCTCCATCTGTAACACTGTCCTATGCTGCCTTAATATAACCCTTTTTGTCATCATCATATTACGAGCACAAGTTGTTTGTGTGTTGCTCTAATGGCCCCATCAGTTATTCTTCACTAAACAAATAAGACATTGTTAATTCTAGTTTCTACTTGACTTCCTGTCTTATATAGCTCGTGTAGTATTGTAATATACAACAACTCTTTGACAACTTGATTATTATTATAATTATTCTGAGCTACTACAGCAATCAATTTCCCTCTGGGATTAATAAAGAATTTTTGAATTTAACTGAATATTTATCATAAGGTTTAACAACAAAAGAGCTAAACGATCATCACAAGCTTACTTCCTTTTATTTCAGGACACTATCCGCAATCCATCTGTGATGGATTTCATTGACAGGAGTCTGGAAGAGGCGCCGTTCTCCTCCAAACACATTCTCAACTTCCTGCACGGCGGCATGCCGGAGGAGCGTCAGGACGACATGCCTGATTTTGACTGGCGAGACGTCTTCAGTCTCGCTGACCGGATCATTCGAATGCTCAATCAATATGGGCGTGTGAGTAGCTTTTACTCAAAGATGGCTGATATTACTCTCAAAACGCTGTGTATTAAAAAAAATCATGAATTTAGAAAATTATTTAAAAGTATTATTCAGCATTTGAAAGGCAGACTGTAATCATCGGTAACATCCCCCTGGTGGATCATCAGAGCTCCTAAACACAGTCTGTAACCAAAAGTTCCTTAGAGGGACTGTTACTCATTCTTCCTACAACATACTTCCTGCTCTTTGACATTGTTGTTCTTCCGTGCATGCTCTGCTCTTCCAAGGTCATTCCACTAATATTCTGGTTTAATACACCTCTTTTAAGAAAGTATTGTGTCATTTAAAGTATTTAAGGTCATTAAACCATTGTATCTTCAACACCACTAGTGTACACCACTAACATAGATAAGGTCTTGGAGCTCTGCGTCGCTCCAGTTTATCATCTCAGCTGATTCTGTTTACAAAAGTGAAGCTTGCAGCACGTTTTACTTTCATTTTCAACATAGTTGCCGGCTGGAGCCACATGATTATGACACGTCCCTCTGTTGCACCAAGGCGTAATCTGCATTCACTAGTCTGGCGGTTGTGGCAATATTACCACTAAGTGGCACAAAAGCGCATTTATTAGACACACTGTAGTGGCAGTGCCACGCAAATTTGCCGGTATTACGTCGATGTGTTCCCCCCTTGAGATCTGTTTCTTTTGCACCCAGCTGCGAGTTTGAGCCATCCACTCGCAAAAAATGTGTGTCGTGTATCCTAACCCTTACCTTACCCCAACCCCTACCCTAACCATAACCCTGAAACAAACATAAAAATTGTGCTACACACAATATTTTCAAAAATGATATTACGCAAACCTAATTTTTTGGTGCCAGGGTGGTTACGTTTTGGGTAAGGGTTAGGGTGAGGTTATTTTTTGTGATTGGGTCGTTTCCACTTGCAGCTGGGTGAGAAAGAAACCGATCTCGAGGGGGGGAACAGATATCGACATAACACCGGCGTCGACAGTTATGAGCGTGTGCGTGTGGAAAGTGATGTGTTTCTTTTTATTTTTTGCACTGCAGCAAAGACTTTGATTTGGTATTCTAGCAAATCTCTGAACAATGTCTTAATCTTCTGGTTTCTGTTCCTGTAAACCCATGCTTGCTACCATTTATGGTGACATTAGAAAAAACTATAAATGAGACATTAACAAGCAAATAATGGTCATACATTTTTTTACTGAGTTTAAACTTCTACTTTAATCTAAATTGTTTTAAACTCTCAAAACACACTTGAAGTACCTGCTCCACCAAACTGCGTCCAAATTCTGCGTCTGCCTACTCTGAAGGATGTAGATCATGAATGTGTGCGCAGCCCATGTCTTTAGTTATTCCTCCTCATGCTAAAAGTTCCACCTTAACAAAGGTGTTGACCAGGTGCTGGAACGGTTACTTTCCAAAAGCGGGGCTCCGAATTTCCAGATGAATACAAAGTGTCAGGGTCATTATTTTAAACGGCTTACCTTTTCACGTTTAAGACATTAACAATCAAACGTGCACTGTTTTGCCACTTTATTTCTCTTGACATGTGAAGTTCTAGGACAGGCTCATTCATGAAATAATCCAATTAGGCACAGGCCTTTTTGAGTTCAACGCCCTGGTGGGCCAATCACTGCACACCAAGGACATTGGCTTGGTAATCTGCCCTGTCCAGGTCCAGGTGGGCATTAGCCAGAATTACAAAGCAGTTTTCTGTCTATTTTGTTTATTGGTGATGGAGTGGAGATTAAAAACAAACCAAGAAGAATGCGTATCATTTTTTTGGAGTGTTTTTATGTCATTCATAGAGGTCAATGCATTTAAAACAACAGTAGAACTGCCTCTTTCCCTACAGAGGCTGAGAAACGTGTTGGGGCAGCATGGGGTGTACCTCGGCACTAGGACGGGTAAATGGCTGGTGCACTTTTTTTTTGCCCAAGTTGAAGCTTACAGCACTTGAGTTTGACAGGGAAGGTGGGAACGACTGGGGACAATTAGATACAGCTGTCAGTCCATCTACTATCCTTTATAAAGAGACAACAAAGACAACAAAGTGTGATGGCTGGCTGGCTCATGTTGGTGTTACGTATGCATACCACCCAGTAGGGGTGTCAGCGCACATAGGTGAAAGCTTCAGCCAACAGAAGGATGCGCTTGTCTTTTAGACGACAATCATTTATTGGGCACGTTAAGCATGAAATTGTCAAAGCGAATCGAGGCTTTTGTTTTTGTCACACAACCGTGTTTGCAAAGCAAATTGTGTTTGTGTGTGTTTTGGGTTTGGGAGGGTGTCTGTGCCCCTTGTGGTAAATGGCTGTTTTGGACTGATTTCTTTTGGATCACAGCCCTCCTTATTTGCATGAGCTTTTGGTGAATGGCTTTATCAGACACGCTTTTCAGAAAACAGACAAACACTTCTGCAAATGAATGAGGGTCTGAGTCTTGGGCCATGGTATTTCTGGGCTTTTCTCAGCTTGTCAGTCAGTCCAGTGTTTTTATCCAGGCTAAAATATCCCGGGAACAGTTACACGCTTTGTGGAGTTACTGTGATATTCATTTCTGACAGTCTGCTTGTTTCACCGACAGAGTTTTAAAAAATAACGTAAAAGCTTGAATTGCTCCACAAGATGAATGAGCAGAAACAGACATTCCAGAATAAAACTTCTAAAGAAAACCTTGTTTTACTCAGGTGCTCACAATGAAATAACCACTTAGAAATACCACACAAATGTCACTGAATTTTTCATTTTGCACACAAATCAAAAGTTCATAAGGACCAGACAGTAATGCACAAACGAATTACAACTACATTTAGCTCCTCATAGCAGTAATAAAACAGTTTGCATGGGGTTTCACTACAATGATTTAATTCTAAATATCTAAAAGTTTACGCATATATCAAGTAATAATGCTGAAAATAACATTCTGTCAAACTTTTTTCTCTCCCTTGTGAATCTTCCATCTCCCAGTGTTTGATTCTTGATAAATTCATAGCTCTCCCTGATGAAGATGCAGTTACTCAGCGAGCTTTGGACCTGTTGGAGGAAGGCAAGTTCTGGGCAGGCCTCGTCTTTGTGAACATGCACTCTTGGAGCACCAGCGTCCCGCCTCATGTTAAATTTAAGATCCGTATGGACATTGATACAGTAGAGCGCACCAATAAAGTCAAAGACAGGTTAGACTTAAGTTCCTGAGGTAATAATGTGTTCATTAGAACAATGAAAGATGTTTACTCTATGTGTGTGACTCATAGGTACTGGGACCCAGGCCCCAGAGCAGATCCTTTGGATGACCTCCGCTACATCTGGGGTGGTTTTGCTTATCTTCAGGACATCATTGAACATGGGATCATCAGCACTCAGACAGGAAAGGAGTGGCCTGTAGGTGTTTACCTGCAGCAGATGCCCTATCCCTGTTATGTAGATGATCTGTAAGTGGGACCTGGGAACAAGTTTTTGCAGAACCCGCTGAGGCCAAAACACTTCTGGTTCCATGAGACAATAATGTGTCTTCCTCCACAATTTCTTTAGCTTCATGCTGATGCTGAATCGCTGTTTCCCCATCTTCATGGTCCTGGCCTGGGTCTACTCTGTGTCCATGATAGTGAAGAGCATCGTTCTGGAGAAAGAGCTTCGTTTGAAGGAGACCTTGAAGACCACGGGGGTCACCAACAGCGTCCTATGGTCCGCCTGGTTTATCGACAGCTTTTTCATGATGGGCATCAGCACAGCTCTTCTTACAGCCATCATCATGGTGAGGAAGTCACAAAAAAGCATGTCATTGCCTCTAGGTTTGGGCAGGTAAAAGTTGGCACATGATCCATTACAGGATGTGTTAGAGACACATGCTCATTGTCTCTGTCTCTGTTCAAACTACACCCTCTAGAGAGCCTGTAAATGTCAGAAAATAATCTAGTTAGCTGTCAATTATTACACATTTTCCCTGAAAAACTGAGCTGATATTAATAGCTCACTTAGTGGATACTTTTCCTTATAAATCATTAATGAAATAACTTTGGAAACCATGAGATCATGAGAATTCTGTCAGCGTCCTGCAGGATTTGGAACAGGCTGGTCAGTGATTAACAGAGCAGCACCTCAGACTTATGCATCACAGCAAGGTGGGCTGATGCGACCTCTGCTGGAAGCAACCTGTAAAACAACAGTTCATCCAAACCAAATGATGCAAACATGGTTGTTTATTTTCACAAATGCTAAGTGATTGTTCTTATCTCTAGGGAGGCAGGGTTCTGAACTACAGCAACCCTTTCATCCTCTTCCTCTTCCTTCTCACCTTCACCATGGCTACCATCATGCAGTGCTTCCTCCTCAGCGTCTTCTTCAATCAGGCTAACCTGGCAGCAGCCTGCTGTGGCATCATTTACTTCACGCTCTACCTGCCACACATCTTCTGCTTTGCCTGGCAGGAACACATCACCAAAGACATGAAGATCATGGTGGTGGGTGTCTTTATTATTAAAAGACTACAGAGGGGTGAATGACTGGTACTAGTGACGGTGCCACATCTTCTCTTAGAGTCTACTATCCCAAGTGGCTTTTGGCTTTGGCGCAGAATATTTATCACGATATGAGGAGCAGGGTATGGGTCTGCAGTGGGACAACATCCAGACTAGTCCCCTGAAGGGAGATGAGTTCTCCTTCCTCACGTCGATCTGCATGATGGGTCTGGACACGGTGCTCTATGCTGTCCTGGCCTGGTACTTGGACAACCTCTTCCCAGGTCGGTGTGTCAGAAAAACAAATGGTTCCATGAAAACACAACAGTGAAGACCTTCTAATGTGTTAGATTTGATTTCGTGTCATTCCAGGACAGTATGGCATTGGTCGTCCATTCTACTTTCCCTTCCTGCCCTGCTATTGGCTGAATAGTATTACTCCAACTGAAGGTACTCTTCTTTTTTAAAGCCAGTAATAAAACTAAAGATCTCTTCTGATTCATGCTCTGTTCTCAAAGGAAATGCCAAGATGAATAAAAATGGCTTTGATAACCTGTCAAAAAAGGCGCAAGGAGAGCTGCCGAAAAAAGTCCAAGAGGAAAACACGGAGGAGGTCCACGACAAAACCGAGGAGGCGACCCCCTCGTGTGAACACCACGAGCGTGAGATGCTCCAAAAGGAGAACCAGACTGAGCAAGAGGAACAGCAGAAGGACGGTATGAGGGTTGTGCCTCATTGTTTGTATTTTGTTACACATCTTTGAGCTGGATTGTGATTCTTTCTTATCTGAGACAAAATGCAGAAACTCAGTGTCCGTGTTTGTGTTTGTACTTCCTGGACTTTGTGAATGCAGACTGCTTAGCTCTCCTGATTGGGTCTTGGCATTCTTTTAAATCATCTTACAGAGCAGTTATTCTTTGAGGCTGAGCCAGCTGATCTGGTGAAGGGAGTTTGTGTCAAAAACCTGGTGAAAGTGTTTGGCAGTTCTTCCACACCGGCTGTAGATAACCTCACCATCAACTTCTATGAGAGCCAGATTACTGCCTTCCTGGGCCACAACGGAGCAGGAAAGACCACCACCATGTAGGTTAGGTGCATGCCTCATTATAAGTGGACACACACACACACATTGAATGTGTGTAAACATTGATGTTCTCTTTTCTCCAGGTCAATTTTGACAGGAATGTTTCCTCCCACCTCAGGGACAGCCACCATTTATGACAAAGACATCCGCACGGACATGGACAGCGTCCGCATGTCTCTGGGAATGTGTCCTCAGCACAACATCCTTTTTCACCAGTTTGTAACGCCTCTCACTTCTAATTAACGTTATGTATATATTTATATCAAAAATGCTCGTCAGCCTTTATTGGTGAGAACTGCTGGTTTATTTCTCAGTATGACCGTGGCAGAGCATATTCTCTTCTACTCGCTGCTGAAAGGCAGTCCAATAGCTGAGGCTGAGGAGGAGGTAGAGAACATGCTGCAGGATCTGGGCCTGCCCCACAAGAGGGCTGAGCTGATCCAGAATCTTTCAGGTCAGTTAGAACATAAATGCACGCACAGATGTAGCACATCTTAACCACGCTTATTTACATCCCATTGATACATTGTGGTGTTCATACAGGGGGCATGCAGAGAAAGTTATCAGTTGCTCTGGCTTTTGTTGGTGGTGCCAAAGTAGTGATCCTTGATGAGCCGACCTCTGGAGTGGACCCTTACTCCAGACGCTCCATTTGGGACCTACTGCTCAAATACCGTGCAGGTAACGCTGACCGCCAGGGCCCTGCAGAAATCCTTTAAATGTTTGTTTAATTAAACAACGAGTGTGAAAGTCATTTGAGGAATTCTGTTACGGTAAAATATTCAAAACCTTGTGTGACACTGGACCCTGTGTGTGTGTGTGTGTGTGTGTGTGTGTGTGTGTGTGTGTGTGTGTGTGTGTGTGTGTGTGTGTGTGTGTGTGTGTGTGTGTGTGTGTTAGCAAAAAGTCATGAACCACTTCTCCGGGGTTGCGGAGTTAGCAGCCTAAGCAGGGAGGCCCAGGCTTCCCTCTCCCCAGCCACTTGGGCCAGTCAGATTGATTCCAGATTACCAACACAGCTTATCAACATAAGCAAACTGGAAAATAACTATAAACCTGTCAGTTTTACACATACTGAGCAATGATTTGGTGCAAAAGTAGCCAAGGGTCATCCCTGACACATACTCAATGGCTTTTAGATTTTTTTTCATTGTGTTAATCGTCCTCAACTGGAGTCAACCATGTCTTTCTGCAAAAGATGACATTACATTTTCAGAATATAATCCCTGCTTTAGGAGTTAACTTGATTCTAGGAAACTGGGATTTAACTCCATCAGTTTTATAGACCAATTCAAAATTGCTTTGAAAGCTTTGAAACCTTAACAAAGACAAAACATAGCTACTATTCAACCAGTTTACAGATACTGAGCTAACATTTGATTTGATTGCGGCTGAAAGTTTTGACTGCACTCTAAGGTCTAACTGGTTTAGGACTTTAGGAATTGCATGATCTGATCTTTCTAGATCTGACCAAAAAATAACTATAACTTTGTTTCCCGGCTCCTTATTTCAAATTTCTGCAATATAGGTGAAATTTATCCCTTCAAGAAATGCCTAGCATTATTAATAGATCACAAAGATTTGTTTCCTGCTCATATAATCATTTTCAACAGGCGGACTGGTGCTGCGTCTGCAGTGATGCCAGCGTTGTACTGGTCTGTTGTGGTGAAGAGGGAGCTGAGGCAGAAGGCGACGCTCTCGATTTAGCGGTCGATCTACGTTCCAACCCTCCCCTTGGGTCACGAGCTTTGGGTAGTGACCGAAATAATGAGATCCTGGATACAAGCGGCCGAAATGAGTTCTCTCTGCAGGGAGTCTGTGCTCTCCCTTAGAGATAGAGTGAGAAACTCGGTCATCCAGGTGGGGCTCGGAGGAGATCCGCTGCGCCTCCAAAACGAGAGGAGCCACTTGAGGTGGCTCGGGCATCTGAATAGGATTCCTCATGGACGCCTCCCTGGTGAGGTTTTCCAGGCACGTTCAACCGGGAGAAGACCTAAAGGCAGACCCAGGACACGCTGGAGAGACTATGTTTCTCAGCTGGCCAGGAAATGCCTTGGGATTATCCTGGAGGAGCTGGTCCAAGTGGCTGGGGAGAGGGAAGTCTGGGCCTCCCTGCTTGGGCTGCTGCCCCCGCGACCTGGCCCCGGATAAGTGGCCAAAAGTGGACGGATGGATGGATGGATAATCCCTTTTGATGCTGGTTTTGCAGGACGCACAGTGATCATGTCCACACACCACATGGATGAGGCTGACCTGCTGAGTGACCGGGTCGCCATCATCTCCCAGGGTCGCCTTTACTGCTGTGGGTCTCCCATCTTCCTGAAGAACTGTTTTGGAGCTGGAATCTATCTCACTCTTGTCCGCCGAATGAAACACGACACACTGAAGGTAGGGACGTATAAAAAACGAAACACTGTGCAGATCCTTTGCATTTAGAGAGTCTCTGCTCTCTTTAATAGAATACAAGCGCAGTTACGGGCCAAATTCACGTTGAATTGACTTTTAACATGACTGGTTTCATATTTACGTTCACATTTTAAGCCTGCTGTCATTTTCTTCTACAGGCCAGCTGTGATTGCACACAGGATTGCTCCTGCAAATGTTCAAAGTGTTCTAAAGTCAAAACCACCAAAGAAGAAAATCCAGCCTCAGATAGACAACTGGACGGTAAGATCACTATTGATGCTGTTAGCCTTTGTGTTCTATGCAAAATTGTTGTTAGTCTCCCTGAACCTGTTTTTAGTCTCTTCACGTTCAGCACCATGAATACAATTGGATACAGTTTCCTTTGGATTGTAGTTAATCTATTCATTATTGACACACCTAGAAACACCTTTGATCTTTGTGTTCAAGGAGGTATTGTGACCAAAGCAAAAGTGATGCAGTTTTATTTTATTTATTGTTCTCGTGAAATGCACGTAAGCTTCAGAACAGTAGCACATATGCATGGAATGATGTTTAAATTCTCCTTCCTTCATCCTTCTCTAGGTAATGTGGAAAGCATCACAGCCTTGGTCCGTCATCATGTGCCACAGGCTCGTCTCGTCAAGGCCATTGGACAGGAGCTCACATTTCTGCTGCCGAACCAAAACTTCCAGCCCAGAGCCTACGCCGGCCTCTTCAGGGAACTGGAGGAAACCCTGGTGGACATCGGCCTCAGCAGCTTCGGTGTGTCAGACACTTCACTGGAGGAGGTGTGGAAACAGTAAAAAAATGAAATTGGATTATAGTGCTTAACTGTAATTTGGTGTGTCAGACACAAAATGGGAGGAGTGGGAACAATTCTAATGAAAAAGGATTCATGTAATGACCCTTAATTACATTTGAAAACCAGATTCTCAGGATTTGGACAGCCAGCTGTTTGTTGGTTACGGATTTCTTCAAAACCGTTCATGTCATAGATTTAGATTCATCAGGGTGTTGGAAACTTTTCTCCAAGGGTTCATTCATAATGACATGATAGCCTTACACCATTGCTGCAGATTTGTTGGCTTTAAACCCATGACGTTCGTTTGAGAGGTGCGTTAGAGATAATTGGAGTTTTTAGACATGGCGCAGCATCCTGCTGGAAGTAGCATCAGAAGATGGGTCCATGTGGTCATAAAGGGACAGACACGACCAGTAACAGGAACCAGGCTCTGTTCTAAGAACGTATTCTTCAATCCATTACACCAGCAGCAGCCTGAAGCGTTGCTACGAGGAAGGATGGAGCTATGATGCTTCATGTTGGTGACACCAAAAGACTCATCAGACCAGGAAAGGTTTTTCCAATCTCCTCTGGTGAATTGTAGCCTCAGTTTCCTGTTCTTAGCTGACAGGAGAGACACCGGGTGCGTTCTTCTGCTGCTGGAGTTCATCTGAAGCAGTGATGCTGGTTGGATTCAGTGCTGATCTGAGCTGCTGATGTCTTCAACAGGTCATTTCTGTCTACACAAGATTTGCTCACAGGAAAATTTCTCTCATTTTTTTTACTTTTCACCACAAACCATAGAGATGGTTGTGGGTTCAAATCCCAGCAGATCAGCAATTCTAAAATACTCTTTGACCTGTCCGGCACAAACAAACATGTTAGTTTCAGTCGTTCTAAATCTCCTCACTTCTCAGTACTGATGCTCAGTTTCAGCAAGTCTCCTTCACCTAGAGGCCTAATTGAGCTGCGACCCTATTTGGTGTTAATTAGCAGTACCTAATAAAGTGGACACTGAGTGTACATGAAGACCCTGAATGAAGGTGCAGAACTTACAATCTGAAACAAGTACTTAATGCATTACATCAGTGTGGACATGGTCTTGAGTCGAAAAAGGGTGGAATGCCTTCTCCGGGTCAGGGACGAGGTCCCGCCTCAAGTGGAGGAGTTTAAGTATCTCAGGGTCTTGTTCACGAGTGAGAGAAAGATGGAGCGTGAGATCAACAGGCGGATTGATGCTGCATCTGCAGCGATGCGGGCGTTGTACCCGTCTGTGGTGGTGAAGAGAGAGCTGAGCCAGAAGACAAAGCTCTCGATTTACCGGTCGATCTACGTTTCCACCCTCACCTATGGTCACGAGCTTTGGGTAGTGACTGAAAGAACGAGATTGCGGATGCAAGCGGCCAAAATGAGTTTTCTCCACAGAGTGGCTGAGCTCTCCCTTACCCCGGGTTTCCACGGGAGCCGTCAGCAGCATGTTACTGCAGCAGCACGTCTTGCTCGCGTAAGCTGCTGCTTGGCCCTTCCCACGAGACGCGAATCAGCAGGGGAGCAACTGTCACCGACAGAGCACGAAGTCACACGAGTGACTTCGTCAGTAAACACAACAACAAGCAGGAGAAAACTACAACATGACTCCAAAATATTTGTGTTTTTATGTTCTGTCCGTTTTATAATCACCAATACGGACCTGAAAAACAAAGGAGACCGCTAGCTAGGTGATAACTTCTCACGGGGCCGCACAGTTAGTAACCTTTTTTAAAGTAAAGCGACCGGAAGGCAGTACGTTCTTTATTCTGAAAATCTCGGGAGCTTCTCTCCATTTCCGCGTCCGATTTCCTGTCTTTCCTTCCCCAAAAATGTCGAACTTGACCCGTTTCAGAGGCGTCGCGCGTAGGAAATAGAACCGGCGCGTAAAGGCCGAGACATGCTGCTCCTGAGACGCGGCCGACTCGCGCTGCTGCCGGCTGCCGACGGCTCCAGTGGAAAAGGTTCTGTTGACCACAGCGGTTCCTATCAGCAGCTATGACGTGCTGCTGACGGCTCCCGTGGAAAGCCGGGGTTAGAGACAAGGTGAAAAGCTCAGTCATCCAGGAGGGGTTTGGAGTCAGTTTTAGGTGGCTCGGGCATCTGGTCAGGATGCCTCCTGGACGCCTCCCTGGTGAGGTTTTCCGGGCACTTCCAACCGGTTGGAGTCCTAAAGGTAGACCCAGGACACGCTGGAGGCACTATGTCTCTCACTTGGCCAGGGAAGACCTTGGGATTCCCCCGGAGGAGCTGGCCCAAGTGGCTGGGGAGTCTGGGTCTCTCGACTTAGGCTGCTGCCCCCGTGGCCTGACTCCGAACAGACGGATGAAAATGGATGGACAAAAGACTATTCATGTATCATTTAGAGCAGTGGTACTCAACCTTTTTTCACTGATGTACCCCCGTGAAATATTTTTTTCAGCCAAGTACCCCTAATCAGCGCAAATACATTTTTGTACCATCTCTGTACAGATTGGTGACTGTGCATCCTCCAGTCTTCCACTGCCTTGGGGGGTGCCGCAAGGTTCCGTTCTTGGGCAATTGCTGTTTTCAATCTACCTTCTGCCTCTGGGCAATATCCTGAATCAGCATGGCCTGAGCTACCACATCTACGCAGATGACTGTCAGCTATACGTGGAAATGGATGAGAAGAATGCGGGCTCGAAATTGGCTGCATGTATGGATGACGTGAAGGGCTGGCTGGCATCCAACTTCTTAAAACTGAATGAAAAGAAGTCTGAGTTTATTGGTTTTGGCCCCCGCAACCACCATGGCTCTCACCCTGTTTGTGACCTTTTAACCCTTAACCCCAAACAGTGTGTGACGAGTCTCGGGGTCAAGCTGGATGCTGGACTCACAATGGCCCCACAGATAAACTCTGTAGTGAGGTCTTGTTTTTATCAGCTTCGCCGCCTTACTCACCTCAGACGAATCCTGAAACGGAGGCATTTGGAGTCAGTCATCCATGCATTCATTACCTCTCACCTGGACTATGCAAACGCCCTCCTCGTTGGTGTTCCGGACTCTGCCCTGAATCGGCTGCAGGTTGTTCAGAACGCTGCTGCCAGGTTCTTGACGGGTACACACCGACGTAGCCACATTACCCCTGTCCTGGCACATCTTCACTGGCTCCCTGTCATTTTCAGAGTGCAGTTTAAGTTACTGACTTTTGTTTTTAAAGCACTCAATGACCTGGCACCTTCCTACCTCTCTGCCCTTCTCACTCCATATGTGCCCACGCGCTCGTTGAGGTTGGCTGACCTTTTGCTGCTGCACACGCCGCGGATGAGACTCAAATCGCGGGGGGATCGAGCATTTGTCCATGCTGCCCCAAAGCTATGGAACTCACTGCCCATTGGAGTTCGGCAGGCTCCATCTCTGGCGGTTTTTAAATCTCGTTTAAAGACCCACTTTTACACTTTGGCTTTTAGACAGTGACTCGTTTCAGTGTTTTATTGTGTCATTGTTTTAATGTGCTCTTAGTATTCATCATGTTTTCTCTGCTTTTGATTGAGATTTTTATCCTTTGTTTTAGCTTCTTGTAATGGGTGTGTTTTGTTTTAGCCTGTGCAGCACTTTGGGCAGCTCCCATGCTGCATTTTAAATGTGCTATATAAATAAACTATGCTATGCTATGCTATTTTTGGTTGTAAAATACAAGACCTTAAATAGGTGCCTTCAGTGACTGATTTATTAAACTTTGAAACTGATAAACAAGTACAAAATTCAACCATTTGGGGAAAAAAACTATTTTGAATATTTTAAATGTTAATACTCCATAACTAAATGTATTGGAAATATTTTTCATCACTAAAATGTGATTCTAATTAATTAATTGAAAACAGTCACCATAAAACTATTTAAAACCATAAGATTACCCATTGAAAAATCCATAAATGTGCAAAACACTGCACATTTTTTGTAGTATCTCTTGAACTATTTGGAAAAAAAAAATATATAACTAAAAATATTTAAAAAAAATATATCAAATACAGGCCAAAGAAATGATTAAGCTAATTATAATTAAAGATTTGTGCTGATAAAAAGCATGTCAACATAAAGTGTTCTCTTTTGGGATCATAGTATATCTGTTCTCTAAAAGAAATCATCAACGTCATTTTAAATAACAATTGCTAAAAACAAATGTAAATCTCAAAATATATTTTTAAAAATCAAAAAGAAGACTGAAATCTTAACATTACTGCACTGATCGGAGTGTTTTTACAGACTTTTTAGTGAGACACTTGGGCTTGTGCTTCACTGAGGATCTTTTTCATCCTTGGTGGCACGGAGGCAACTGCTGTGATCAAGCTCTTTTTTAGACACAGTCTGCTTCTCTGATGTACCCCCTGGAGTTTCTTTACGTACCCCCAGGGGTACGCGTACCCCCATTTGAGAAAGGCTGATTTAGAGGGTACGTTAATTCTTTGGTCTTACAACAATTCATTTTCTTTTAGATTTTTCTGAAGGTCACCGCAGATGGGACCGCAGCCAACATCAAATGTGCCCAAGGTATAAAAACGTTTTTTTTGTTGTTGTTGAACTTCTATAAGTTTCTTCCATCTGTGTGTGTGTGTTTTCATGTCAGAACTTGTGTTTGTAGCTTATTTTTTTCCTTAGTTGACTTTTCTGTCCATTTTGAACTCTCAGAGAAGAAAACGTTGCAACAGATTTCTCCAGCCAGTCTCTGTGGATTCAACAGAGGGGCTGTTGATGTGGACGCACAGAAAGGTGACAGCGGCTACCAGCTCACAGCTCGGAGGAACTGTTGTGGGACAAACACAATGTTCCAGTTCCTTATTCAATAAAGGCCCATTCAGAGGTTCAAAAGCAGAAAAGTACAAAACAACCTCAGAACTCTGATCATCTAGTTTTATATCTTGTATACGTAAATCTTAAATGAGCGAGTCATTTAATTTTCACATCTTAACAGAGAAAACTAACCGCTAGCTAATAAGCATGCTTAAAGCCACACATTTTATCAAGACAAAAATCTATGTAACCAGCATTTAGTTTGGTGTATGAAACTATTATAATGTTTATTTATTAAACGTGTTTAAGAGGGTTAGGGTTATTGAGCCGTTTATCCTGACACCAGCTAATTTAGAGTGCTTAAAAACCAGCTTTAACTGTTAGGATATTGCTGGATAATAGCTTTAATTAGCTATCTGTAGATTTTTATGCACTTGGCTGGTATTTAATAGTTTATATAACAACACTGGTTGATGTTATTCTGGACTAACCTGTCGCTGGTTCTTGTTCCAGAGTCTAATGGTCCAGGCGATATCCCAGAAGGCAGTGCAGGACGAGGATCCTACCAGGTCCGAGGCTTGTGTCTGATCACCCAACAGTTTTTTGCTCTGCTGATTAAGAGATGGCATCACGCCACACGCTCCTTCAAAGACTTCATTGCTCAGGTTTATTTTCTGTGTTTTACAATAAAAACATAATTTTTTTGTCAAAATCAGCTTTTTAAATTGCAGTTGTGTTTTTGTGTCTGGTAGGTTCTGCTTCCAGCCAGCTTTGTCTTCCTGGTGCTGATGTTTACTCTGATAGTTCCACCGTTTGGAGAGTATCCCAGTCTGACCCTCAGTCCATGGATGTATGGACGACAGTACACCTTCTTCAGGTTGGACTGTGTCATGTCATAGTACAGTCACGGGTAAATGTTTAATCAAACAGCTGAAATAAATTAGCATAAAAATTCATGTTGTGCTTTGCAGCAATGAGCGCCCCACAGATCCTGACATGAGACACTTGGGTGAGGTTTTGCTGGACAAACCTGGTTTTGGGACTCGCTGCATGGTGGACGAACCTCTAGAGTAAGTATCCGTCACACATCTGATATAAAACACTTCTAGACATTTTGCAGGACTATTTTGTTTCACAGCATTGTTCTGATGTTTTTATGTATCTCGAAAGGGATTTTCCTTGTAATAACATCACTACAGAGTGGGAGATGCCTTTGGTCAACCCTGCACTCATAGAGATGCTAGAGAACCCAAAGTGGACTCCTCTCAAACTGTCTCCAGAGTGTCAGTGCAGCACACCCAAAAAACTCACCATGCTCCCTGTGTGTCCCGAGGGGGCTGGAGGCCTGCCACCTCCACAGGTGGGGATCAAAAATAAGTCTTTGAGCACACACCTGCTGTATCCACGAGCAGAAGATGCTTCCTCAGTTGGTTCAGATCCACCACAGCTGATGAGCATCTAACACACATTTTCTGTTTTGTTTAGAGGATCCAGTCAACAGGAGATGTTCTAATGGACCTGACTGGTAGGAACATCTCTGACTATCTGGTAAAGACCTACCCCAGCCTCATCAGAACCAGGTAAATGTGGTGGTTTACAACACTCCAAATAGAACAGATCACATAGTGTTGCACAGGAAGTCATTCAATGTAATTGTGTGCTCTCTCCCCAGCTTGAAAAGTAAATATTGGGTGAATGAACAAAGGTAATTTTAACCTTTTCACTCTGTGATAAAACCTAGTGCACCTGAGGCGGCGGCGTGTGTTGGTGTGATTTGCCCTCTAGTGGTGGAAATAGTGCACTACCATTAGAGTGCTGCACACAGAATCAGAACACTAAAACTCTAAAATGTTTGTCTGTGGGGTTCAGGTATGGAGGTGTATCAGTGGGTGGAAAGCTCCCAGTTTTAAGTCTGCAGCCAAAAACCATTCAGGAGGTAGCTGCTCAGGTGGGACGACTTCTGAATGTTACTGGGGTGAGCTTTTAAATCCCAACATCACTGCTTGTGTTGGAAATCGTTTTTTTTTTTTACCTCTTCTTTAAAAGTATCTTAATATAGTTTGCAATGAACATTTGATTTCCTTGTCTTTTTAGGGCAAATATTCTAAACAAACCCTTCTGGACATCGGGACATTTCTCAGATACATGGAGACACAAGACAATGTGAAGGTTAGTTCTACAAAGCTCACAAACACAAGTTATTCAACACATGTGGCATCATGTTCCGGTCTCCCTGCTTTTGGCCAGGTGTGGTACAACAATAAGGGCTGGCATGCCATGGTGGCCTTTATGAATGTGGCCAACAATGCCATTCTCCGTGCACATTTGCCCAGAGGAGCTCATTTGGATGAATATGGAATCACTACTATCAACCATCCTCTGAATCTCACGAAGGAGCAGTTGTCTGAGATCACCGTGTGAGTAACAGTTAGCCCGATTCTTGTTCCAGTCTGATGTTTTTGTTGGTAAACAACAAGCCTTTTCCCGTTTGTCACTATGAAAGCTTAGCTTAGCTCATGGAAACAATGCCATGTCTCTCTTGTTTCTCCAGTCTGACCACCTCAGTGGATGCGGTGGTGGCCATTTGTGTCATTTTCGCCATGTCCTTCGTCCCAGCTAGCTTTGTCCTCTATCTCATCCAGGAGAGGGTCACTCAGGCCAAACACCTGCAGTTTGTCAGTGGAGTCAGTCCATTGATGTACTGGATGTCCAACTTCCTGTGGGACATGGTACGGTGACCCTGTTGGTAGTACCAGTGGAGTGTGAGTCATATAACAGAGACGGGTGTTTTCTGTGGCGGCCTGTAGGTGAATTACTCCATCAGCGCAGCGATGGTGGTGAGAATCTTTCTGTTTTTTGATAAGAAATGTTACACCTCCTCCACCAACCTACGGCCTCTTATCACCTTGCTTATGCTTTATGGGTGAGTCCATTTGTTTGATCAAACTGAGCAGATCATTCTTTAAGTGTGTGCTTTTAAAGGCCAAGCATATTTTTTAAAGAATTTATATCATTCTCTGATTTTTGTGCCTCGTATAATCTGGTGTTTTTACGCTGCTACACCATCTTGTGTAACCTATGAACGCTCGGTGTGTGTGACATGAAGGACTCCAAGTTATAGCTCCATATCTGCAGAACAGATTGAGTTTTAGCTATGTATACGTTCTCCAAGGTCACTTTACTGTTGAATCGTCACATGTTCATCCAATGATCCATTAAAACCTGCTCATGAGATATTTGACTAAAAAAGTCAGAGACTTAGGCTGAAACAGTATCGACACACAAATAATCACTAATACCATGTTTAGAATTTTACAAAATTACATTTGAATTAAAATTGTGTCCTAACTAGCACCCATGTCCATAACAAACTTCTTGCTGGTTTGCCTTAGCTGGTCCGTGACACCCATGATGTACCCGATGTCCTACATCTTCAGTGTCCCCAGCACAGCTTACGTCTCTCTGTCGTGTATCAATCTCTTTATCGGCATCAACAGCAGTGCCATCACCTTCATCCTGGACCTCTTTGAGAGCACTACAGTAATACAGGACGACCAAGAAACCTACATTCTGTCTTTGATCAATATTCATTCTCACTTTATTTAATTGTGTTTGTTTTCATTTAAATCCAGGCTCTGTACAGATTTAACCAGATGTTAAAGACGGCTCTACTCGTCTTTCCCCATTACTGCCTGGGCCGAGGTCTGATAGACTTGGCCATCAGCCAGACTGTGACCGATGTTCACGCTCGCTTTGGTAAACACCTACTTAGTGTTAAATTTCTTAGCAAACAGTCACTGGTTGTGTTAGATAAGCTGCACAGCTGATTTTTCTCATGTTATTTCCCCAAGGTGAGGATTACAGTCCAGACCCCTTTAACTGGGACTTCATTGGGAAGAACCTGTTCTGTATGGCTGTTGAGGGATTCGTCTATTTCATCCTCAACATTTTTTTTCAGTATCACTTCTTCCTGGATCGGCGGCAAGTGCAACAATCATATAAAACATTCTGCCATTTTGAGTTGTGTTTGTTAATGAAGGTGTAACTTAGAGTTCGCTGTGTGAACAGGCGATGGAGACATAGGATTGAGACTGATAACGATCCTAATCAGTCAAATTAGCATAGAAACACTTCAAAATGTCTCAAAACCCTGTTTAATGTCACTTTCACACTGACTTAAAGATGACTGGTGACGATGTGATTATGTGGTAGGAATCCAGACAGCCCGAAGCCTTACATCTTGGAGGAAGACAAAGATGTGTCCGAGGAAAGGGAGCGAATCCACAAGAGTGGAAAAACAAATGACATTTTATGCATAAAAGACCTATCCAAGGTGAGGTGGCTCATTACATTACAAAGAAACTTGGAAAAAAGATAGAATTTTTATTATTTATTTATTTTTTTCAGACGTACAGAGGGACGAAAGTCCCAGCTGTGAACCAGATCTGTGTTGGAGTATCATCTGGAGAGGTTTGTCCACTTTCTGTTATAAAGAGATGCTCAGCAGAGGAGACACACTGTTAACTTGATTGTTGATATTTTGCTTTTTGTCCTCATCTGCAGTGCTTTGGCCTCCTGGGAGTAAATGGAGCAGGGAAGACAACAACGTTCAAGATGCTGACTGGAGACATAGATGTGACTTCAGGAGAGGCCACAGTCTCTGGTTACAGGTTCACAATATGAAGAAAACTTCATTTTACACGTTGATGTTGGAGATGAATGCATCTGCTAAACCAAAAAGGGGAAATGAATTACTACTAAACTGAGAAGAATACACTTTTAGATGATTATCACTTCAATACCCACGTCTGAACAGAAGTTTTCATCAGCCAATTATTTTCAGACATGTCACAGTCCGTTTCTCAAATGTTTCCTTCATGTTGTCTTTGCAGCATCCTGACCAACATCTTGAATGTCCATCAGAACATGGGTTACTGCCCGCAGTTTGACGCCATCGATGAGCTGCTTACAGGCAGAGAACATCTACACCTCTACGCCCGCCTCCGCGGGGTTCCAGAGTCCGAGATCCGAAGGGTGAGAAGGAACTGTTGTTAGGATTTAAAGTTTGGATTTTATCTGGAATCTGAAGGCTGATAAAGAAGCCTATGTGGAACAGGTGTGATTTTTCAGGGGTTTAATCATCTACCTGAAATGATTAATTCTAACGTGCATAACACTGCAAGAGATCATTTGTTGACTAAACACCTGAATCAAGGTTGTGGTTATTTTTGGTGCCAAAGACCATTAGACTCTGTCAGAACTTTCTTCTTTGTCTTCTAGACATCCTAGGCCCCCTACAGGGAGATACTCAAAACTACAATGTGACCAGATTGGAACAAATCAGGACAACCAGCTTTAGAGTGGAGGGCCCGCAGGGACAGATGAAAACTCCGTACAGCTCATGTATACAGTCTGGTATTATAAACGAGTAGAGCTGAGACATCCCAACGACATTCACAGAAAAACAAAGCAGCACGCTGACCGGATTACAGCGAGGCTCCAGCACCATGAATATGCTGCAAGAATAACTAATTCGGGCTTATCTTGAAATGTTTGTGTTCCCATGATGTTGTGCTCCAGCAGCCCATTCCCACAGTGATTATTCCATGTGCAGCTATGATTGCACCTTACTTCTGACCTTGTCCTGCTGCTTTTCTCTGAGATGGTGGGAGCTAAAACTCAAAGATCACAGCGCACTAGCTCTCTCCATGATGAGAGTGTGGCTTTGGAATGAGGTCAGCATTGTCTGCCCTGCTTTTTTTTTTTTTTTAAATACATGACCAAGCTCCAGTGGTGTGTGTGTGTGCTGACCCCACATTGTGACTACACTGCCACCATGCTCCACAGGATCCCAAATGTTGCAGCTACAGTGATGAACCACCATAATGTCACTATGGAGGTTTTGGTCATTGTGGAGAGTCGTAATGAAGACTCCACAACAATCTTAAGAACATTTACTGTCACGATGAGAGGATGGTTTGGACCCAAAATGCAGATACCCAGGATGACACGAGGCAGGAGTTGATATAAAGAAAATCCTTTTATTTTAGGATGAGTCCAAAATAAAAATAAATCCAAAAAGGCAGGGAGCCAAAAACCAAAGATCCAGGAACAGGAGAAAAAAAAACTCACTTAGAGCACAGACTGGGAACGAGACCGGAAACTTACACAGAACACCAAAACACCGCTGACAAACAACAATGGACCGACAAGACACAGAGACAAGACAGGGCTTAAATACACGGGGGCATAATGGGAGGCAGATGAGCTGCAGGTGTGTGGAGTGTGGGGGGAGGACCAGGTGAAAGCAATGACTAATCAGGGAAGAAACTAACATGACCTAAGAGTGAACCTAAAAACAGAAAAGCAACCATATAACTAAAATTCTAAAGGGAAGGAGAACTACAAAGACCGGTGGGACAAAACATATTAAAGAGACTAATAACATGAAAAGCTGAAACTATAAACACTGCAGAGGGGTGACTGGAGAAGACTAAAGGAACACAGGAGACACATAAATGAGATGCAGACAAAGGAAACATGAGGGCGCTATGAAACACAAAAGGAGAACCTGGAGTGGGAACTGGAGGGGCTGGGGAACAAAGGGACACAGAACATGACATTTACATTCTGAATGAGTTTTTTTTTTATTATAACAATATTTTCCTGTGTAATTGAGGTCTTAGGTCTAGACTGTCTTTAAATGTTACCAATCAGGACAGAACTAGAAAGTCCTTCAGCAGGTTTCATGTTTGGGACATGAACTTCTGATTCATCTGAATAATGCACAAGGCACATCATTTCTCCAAATGTAGGTGGCAGATTGGGCGATCCAGAAACTGGGTCTGTTGGAATATGCAGGCTGTAGCGCCGGGACCTACAGTGGAGGCAACAGGAGGAAACTCTCCACTGCCATTTCCATGATTGGTTGTCCTGCTCTGGTGCTGCTGGTGAGACCAAAACCACCCAGGCTGCAGGAATTTATTTGCTTTGCTCGTAGTTTTCAAAACACTGGTGGAAATGGACAACATTCATTTGTTTGTATTTTAGGATGAGCCTACCACAGGTATGGACCCGCTCTCCAGACGCTTTCTATGGAAGTCCATCATGAGTGTTATTCAGGACCAGCGGGCTGTGGTCCTCACTTCACACAGGTGAACTTTACAATGTACTGTATATACCTTTATGTGTCTGGTGATGTGATCCTCATTGATAAATGTCCTGATTTCCTATTTGCAGTATGGAGGAATGTGAGGCTCTTTGTACCCGCTTAGCCATCATGGTCAATGGATCCTTCAAGTGTCTGGGAACCATTCAGCATCTCAAATACAAGTCAGCTACTTTTAATCAGGTTTATTCTCTTATTGAAGTGAAATACAGAAATTTCCAACAACCAGTTCATTCTGATGCAGATTTGGAGACGGCTACGTGGTAACCATGAAGATCAGGGCGGCTAAGCCTGGTTCCCCCCCAGACCTGAACCCTGCTGAAGCCTTCATGGAGAGCACTTTCCCAGGCTGCATCCAGAGAGAGAAACACTACAACACTCTGCAGTACAAGATTTCCTCCTCCTCTCTAGCAAGGATTTTTCAAATGGTCCTGGCTAACAGGGTCAAACTGAACATAGAGGACTACTCCGTGTCACAGACCACGCTCGATCAGGTGAATAAAGAAAACACAACATTAAAAACGAGTGGATGCTTTAAAAAAACACAAGTCGTTTTGATCTTCTGTCCCTGCAGGTGTTTGTGAATTTTGCCAAGCAGCAGCACCGAGAGGATGATACTATTGTTCTTCATCCAAAAGCTGCAGGAGCCCAGCTTTACGTTGATGCTGCACCAATCAAGTCTCGCAGGAAGTGACCTCAGCAAACCGAACTTTAGGTTACTGTCGTAACCCCGGTTCTCTGAGTGGCATGAGTGAGTGTCTCACTATAGGAACGCTTAGGCGTGACCTCATCAGAAGCTCTTATTCCACACCGCCAGCCCTGATTGGCTGGAACAAATCTGTCAGCGTATAGGAGGCGGGAACTCCACCTATATATTAGGCCGGCTCCTCACTGACAGTATTCTAAAATGACCATCTCTCCCTCGCTACGAAATAGCAAGGAGGGCGGTATGGTGAGACACTCACTCATGCTACTCAGAGAACCGGGGTTACGAAGTAACCTAAAGTTCTCTTTCATAGCATTTGTTTCGTGTCTCACCATGGGAAAATACTGACTCCCAGATAGCAAGGCAGAACATGATCCACAGACTCTACTCCCAAATATCATATCATGTGCACAGCTCAGATAGTGGGAGCCATACCCAGCACAGAGTGAGACAGTGACTGTGTTGTGACATCTAGCTTGTAGAAGAAGAAGAAGAAAGCAGGGGCAGATTAAGGAATGAAGAACATCCGGGGCTTAACACACGCACACACACGCGTGCACACACACACGTGACACACACTAGTCAACATCATATTTGTCTCGTACCACATAATTTTTAATCTGAAGCTACATATTAAGCATTTTCAGGGCAGAGTATTGTTCCTGTTAGTGTTTAGTGTGAGATGATAGTACATATTCCCTTTCTTTCTCCTTTACTTTAGGCAAACCAGCAGCACAACAAATATTTTCAAATAAGACTCACAAACCTGAGTCAACACCAGTCTCATCAAAGCTGGGGTTCTGCCACCGTACTTTTGGTCTAAAAAACGTCCTTATGTCCATCTTCACTCATGCGTTTCAGGCAGAGACTGTAGAATAAGCCGGTGTCGGTACAAGATCTGCTCGGGTGCAAAAGGCTCGGGGTCCGTCGACTGCCGATGACGTCTAAGTAGTTGATTGGCTGAACATGAACCTTACGGAATTACGTAATCATGTTATGTTGTTATCACGTTACATTGGTCCAGGCAAATCTGTCTATTCTTTTACAAAGAAATCATCATTACCTCTTTGAAAATACACTTTTAGCATAGAGCTGCATGTATATTAGGGCTGAACGATTAACTGCATGTGCAATTAAATTGCGATGTGACAAAAGGAGTTTTTCTAATCGCAAAGGCTGCAATTTGGCAGCGAGTGGTTAGCGCAATGCTAATATACATGGAAAAACCCATAGGAATGCTAATGCTAAAATCGCCGATTACATTATTACAAATTATGAATTAGAAACGTGCCAAATGATTACATTTGGAGTCTAATAGAAAGTAAAACTACCATCAATCAAATAAGTACAGACAGGTATTTTAGTAAAGCCAGAAAACTTTTAACTCCAGAGTTTTGGCTAGCAGCTATGAGCGTAACTGAACTACGCATGGACAAGACGTCAAAAACTCTAAACACAAAATACTTCAATAAACGGGACACACTTCTTTCCTGCAAATACAATTTCACAGGTGTTGCTAATACCTATGATTCTTCAAGGGATGTGCTCAAAGAGGAGTTCAACATTATGAATAAAATATAGTGTTTTATTTTACAAATACCATTATAAACACAAACTTATGTCTTAAGAAACATTATTTTAATAACGAAACTGCTAAATTCTTTCCAACAGTATAGATGTGTAGTGTATTTTGTCTGAGTGGGTTTGCCGTACTTAGACGTCATCGGCAGTCGAAGGACCCCGAGCCGATCTTGCACCCGAGCAGATCTTGTACCGACACCGGCTGTTGAAGGGCTTCTTCTTCAGTGGTGGAGGCTCAGGCAGGCTGAATACAAACTACTGCCAGCTGCTCCCTCTCTGTTGGACTTTGGTACTGCATGTTACTTCCGCGATTTAGATCCGGGGCTTTCTATGAAACATCCGGGGCTTCAGCCCAAGTAGCCGGGCCTTACACCGCCCCTGGAAGAAAGTATGATTTCTATAGCGCCTCTCAAGATAAAAATCACGAGGCGCTTCACAAAAGCAAAAAATGTAAAAATATAAAAAAAACATTTAGAATTTGTTTAAAAATACATTTAAAATGAGCAAATAATAGACGATTGTGATTAAAAATGTAAAGAAAGAGAGAGAGTGAATAGGAAAGAGAGAAATCAGTGGATGCTGAGGATGGTGGAATAGGTGGGGAGAGCAGAATAAAGAGAGAGTGGTGAAGAAGGTCATACAAAAGCCAGCTTGAACAAGTGAGTTTTCAGCTGCTTTTTAAAGGAGACCACTGAGTCCACTGATCTCAGGCTCAGGGGGAGAGAGGTCCAGAGTCTGGGGGCCACAGCAGCAACCGAGTGAATGTGTGAGGGGAGGTCCAACTCGCCGCAGCACATATTTCCTGAATGGACACTCCCTTAAATAGGGCCCATGTGGAAGAAAGTCCTTTAGTAGAATGGGTACGAAGGCCCTCAGGAGCAGTGTTGGGAGTAATGCGGTACAAAAGTAATTAATTACTGTAATGCATTGCTTTTTGTTGTAATGTGGTAATGTAAGGCATTACAGGGAAAAAAATGGTAATATTTACTCGGTACAATTGTCAGTAACGCAGTAATTACAATGCATTTTAAACCCAGAATCAAGATACGTTTCTTAAAAATTCAAATTGCGGGAAACCCGAAAAAAGATCCAATATCTGCATCTATTACGTCATTTATGGACTCCGCTTTGCGGGCAGAGGACGTAGCGGTACCGGCTCAAACACTCCAGCTGCATCCTGCGCGCGGCCACTGCAACATTCACAAAATCGCTCCACTAAAACAAAATAATTCACCTGCGATCGTTCATATCAGCGCATGTTCTCTGGTATTCTGTACTTTTCTGACGTGCTTTGCCTCATCTGAGTTAATCTGGGCCCCGGTGATTTTAACTCATTACTGCTGGAGCGCCGCGCAAGTGAAGATACCTTTGGCTGATAGTTAGAAAGTAGGAAGTCTAGGAAACCGTTTTTTCTGGAAGACGGAGAAAACATGCAGTATGCAGGGAGGTTAGAGAGAGAAAGTGCAGGAAATATTTCAAATAAAATCAAGAAAACAAAACAAAGTGCTTGAAAAGAAAAAAGTAGGTAGATTTATCCCCAATACCCATTTTTACCAGTGAAAAGCAATAATATATAAGCATTTAATATTTATACGTGTGATAGAATCAGATCACCCCAGAAGCCAGTCCCACATCCAGGGCCGTATCAAGGCATTTGGGGACCAAGGCAAATATAGGCTTGGAGCCCCCACCACCTTACTCTCTGCTCAGTTAATCTAAGATGGCAGCGTGCTGAGAGTACAGATTGTTGTTTCATTTATGTTATAAACAATCCTTCTAAAGAACTGTTTTAACAGCAGTCCTAGCTCAGACACCACATCACCTTCCACCGGATGTGTCATGAGTTCACCAGGCATCAGATTACCAAACTCATACTGTGTCATGACATACTGAAGTTGTTTTGTTGAAAGTAACTTAGAGTAATGCAAAAGTAGTGTAATGCCTTACATTTTAAAATCAGTAATATTGTAATGTAATGAATTACTTTAAAATGAGGGTAACAAGTAATAAATATGTATTACAGTTTTGAAGTAACTTGCCCAACACTGCTCAGGAGGTAGAGCCCTTTTGGAGTTGTAGGCTAAGGAAATGGCTCCTACAATCCAGTGGGAAAGTCCCTGCTTTGATATGTGCTTCCCCAACCAATTTTTGGCCCAGGACACAAAAAGCTGGTTTCTCTTTCGCATAGTCTCTGTCCTGTCCATGTAAATATGTAATGCACGCACCGGACAAAGTGCATGGAGATTCTGCTGCTCTACTGAGGAGAAGGGAGGAGGGCAGAAGGAAACCAAAGAAAAAGGGGAAAAAGCCCCCAGCACCTTTGGCATTAAGGTGGGATTAGGGAGTAAGGTCACTTTCGAGTCCCCTTGGGAAAATTTGGTACATGATGGGTGAACAGACAGAGCATGTATTTCACCCACACTTTTAGCCGACATAAGTGCCAGCAACAGTGCCGTTTTTAATGTAGCAACCTTCAAATCCACCTGCTCTAGTGGTTCAAAACGAGAAGACATTAAGGCCTCCATCGCTAGCGGGAGGTCCCAGGGTATAGCCAGATTCCTAGAGATGGGAACTTGCCTTCGCACTCCTCTCATAAATCGACTCACAAGGGGATGCTGTCCAACCGACTTCCCTTCAAATCCAATATGGCAGGCTGATATTGCAGCCAAATACACCTTGATGGTGGAGAAAGCTTTTCCTTTATCCATCAGGTCCTGCAAGAAGGTCAGTATGACCACCACGGAGCTCTGGAAAGGGATTTCCTGTTTCTCCCCACACCATTTTTTGAAAATAGACCACTTGCAGTCATACAGAGACCTAGTTGAGGGAGTCCTTGCGCCCTGAATGGTCTCAATGACCCTCTGTGGGAGTCCTACAGCCTGTAGGTTGGACCGCTCATGGGCCAAGCCCAGAGGGACAATCTGGGTGTGGGTGGAAAACCTCCCCTTGTGCCTGAGATGGCAGATCTCTGCGTAGGGGCGGGGGCCACGGTTCTCCACAAAGGAGTTGTGTGATCTCCGCCAGCTAGTGTTTCGATGGCCAATGGGGTGCAATCAGAATCATTACCAGGTCCTCCGTTCTCACTCTGGTGAGCGTGGGTGAAATGTAGGGATGGGTACCTTTGACATTTGAATCGATTCGGTACTAATTCCCGGTATCTAGGAATCGATACCGGTACGTAATGGTAACAATTTTCGATACTTTTGAGTGTTTAATATTTTAATTCTCTTTTATAATTAAATATATATTTTTCTCAATATATAACTATTTGATAAATATCAGGATTAATAACATAAAACTATTTGTATTTAACATCTTCCTTGTAGTTTTATAAGCTGATAATTAAACTGAAGCAAACATCTTTACTGTGAACTAAATTTACTGTGTATCTTCATTCCTTTTGCCGTCCTTTTTCATTTGATTTTTCCTACTGGGAAGTTAGAATTTCCAAGAAGAAAGCAAACGCACGATCAGCTGAAAACAATGGTGGCAATGGAATCTAATTTATTAAGCTAACGTTATCTTAAACAGTTTATTTAGCTGCTGGAGCAGATTAAAACGATGATGCCTCACACTTAGCTCGTTGTCACTGGTTTCATCTTCACCCAATCACCCGTCGCATTTAGTAAAGTGAAGCCAAACTTTAGAGCGCGTTCACGTTCTTCTTGCCGGAGTTTCGGAATTCCGAGGAGAAAGCGAACGCACCATTAGCGGAACGGAAGCTAACATATCAAGCTAATGTTATCTTAAACATGTTATTTACCTACCGGAGCAGATTAAGATGAGGATGTCTCACTTAGATCGCTGTCGCTGGTTTCATCATCACCCAGTTACCCATCACATTTAGTGAAGTGGACACAAGCTTTAGCGTGCGTTCTTTCTACCATGCTGCTCTGTTTACAACTGGCTCGCAGCGACCAGTGTAACGCTCTTGCGTATGCGCAGCTGTCCAGGCAAGTTCTCGTTATGAAGGACAGGTACCGAAACGAGGCACCGTTTCTAATGACGTGTATCGGTGCTCAGTCTGTACTATGGAATTTGGTCGGTACCTTAAAAAGTACCGAATTCGGTACCCATCGCTGGTGAGATGAGAGCCACAGGGGTCACATAGAGCAGGGTCTGGCCATCTGTGGGCGAATGCATCCACTCCCAGAGTTGTGTCCTGGCCATGTAGGGAGAAAAACATGGGGCACTGAGTGTTCTCCCGAGAGGCAAGCAGGTCTATCGAGGCCTGCCCGAAGTGCATCCAGATCATCCTGACCACCTCTGGGTTAAGTCTCCACTCCACGTACTGGAGGTTCCCTCTGGAGAAAAGATCTGCCCCCAGGTTCCATATCCCCAGTACATGAGTGGCTCTCAGAGACAATAAGTGTCTGCTGCTCCACAGAACAAGCTTGTGAGCTAACATGTGCAGGCTTTGGGATCTCAGACCCCGCTGCCGATTTATGTACGCCACAACAGTTGTGTTGTCTGTTTGTATCAGCACATGATGGTTTACGAGGAGAGGGAGGAAATGTCTCAACGTCATGAAGACTTCCGACAGTTCCAAATAATTTATGTGGAACCTGAGCATGTGGGAGGGCCAGGACCCGTTCACCGGTCTCCCCTCGAAGACCCCCCCTCAACCTGACAGAGAGGCATCTGTCGCGATCACTTTTCTGCTTTGCACTGTGACCATGGGCGCTCTCTGCAACAGGAGATGTCCATTTCTCCAGGGCCGAAGTGCAGCAGTGCAGGCTGCTGTGATCCTGATGTTCCGAGAGCTGTGTCGGTCCAGTTTCTGTCTGGCCATCCACCGCTGAACTCTCTTCATGTGTAAACGACCTAGAGGAACAGCCACCAGAGCTGAAGCCATTAGGCCAACAGTCGTTGGCAGAGTCTGGGTGACGGCATGTTCCCCCTGTGGAACTGAGCCAAGCAGTTCTTTATTGCATTCGCTCTCTCTCCACTCAGTTTCACCATAGCCTGCGTGGAGTCCAGCAGCAGGCCAATAAAGCGGATGGTTTGGGTGGGAAGAAGGACACTCTTTTCTAAATTTATCCTGAACCCCAGGCTCACCATGTGATGAGCCAAAAAGGCTGTGTGATCTGCAGCCTCTTTTCGAGACAATGCTGCAATAAGTCAGTCGTTGATGTACATAGCAACTCTGATTCCCCTTCTTCTCAGCTGTGCCACAGCTGCTTCCGTACATCTTTCAAACACTCTCGGGCTCAGGGAGAGGCCGAAAGGGAGGACGAGATACTCAAAACATCTCCCTAACAATGCAAATCTGAGATATTTTCTGTGAGGCAGATAAATCGGGATGTGAAAATAAGCGTCTTTCAGGTCGACTGATGTGAACCAGTCTCTCGGGCGGAGAAAGCGCAGTAGGGAAGCGAGCGTCAGCATTCTGAACTTGTATTTTCTGAGATGCCTGTTCAAACACGCAGGTCCAGAATAGCTTGCATCCCTCCGCCTTTCTTCGGAACCAGAAAGTATCTTGAGTAAAACCCACTCCTGCTTTGCTCTGGAGGGATTTCTCTTATCGCTTCTTTCTCCAACAGTGAGGAAATTTCCTCCTGTCTGAAACTAGTGGATTCTCCCTTGGCTTGTGATTGAATCACACTTATAAAGCGAGGGGGAACTGTTGCAAATTGCAGCCTGTATCCTCTGCTTATTGTTTTCAGAACCCAGTCTGACTCCGTGCATTTCTCCCAATCTTTAATTCTCAGCAACAGCGGGCTCACAGGCCCCTCCAACATGTGTGGAACGAGTTGCTCACCCTCTAGTGCAGTGGTTCCCAAATTTATTTAGCCGCGCACCCCCTTCTATGTCCCGACCATGTCGACGCACCCTCCCCCCCCCCCCCCACCCCCCACCCCCAGCCCCCACATCGGGGCATGGCTCTCTCTCTCTCTCTCTCTCTCTCTCTCTCTCTCTCTCTCTCTCTCTCTCTCTCTCTCTCTATATATATATATATATATATATATATATATATATATATATATATATCAGATGTCAAGCTAACCAGAGAGGGTTAAAAAAATTCCCCATCACTTTCATTTTTTAAATAGTAATTAATAAACATTCGATACCATTACAATTTCCTTTGATTTCATTTTGAATAAATATTTAGAGTGCCCAGGTAGCACATAAACAATGCAATTTAACGGTTTTCTTAAAGTAGGAACGTTTAACCTGTGCGGCCAGAGCGCTCTCCTTCCTTCTGTTCTGCGTAAACCTGAGCTGGTCACCTACTTGTGGGTAATCAAATAATAATAATAATAATAATAATGCATTTAATTTATAGGCGCCTTTCAAGACCCGAGGTCACCTCACAAAACATGATAAAACTTACACACAAATAAGAATAAAATCATGTAAACAATAAAATTACTAAAAGTATGCTGTAAATGTCAGAGTAAAGAGTTTGTGGGCTAGAGAGTGTAAGCCAGGTTGAACAGGTGAGTTTTGAGTTTGGATTTGAATGAGAGGAGGGTGTCAGTGTTTCGGATGTCAGGAGGAAGTGAGTTCCAGAGCCGAGGAGCAGAGCGACTGAAAGCTCTGTTTCCAACGGTGGTGAGACGAGCAGGAGGAACCACAAGGTGGATGGCAGAGGAAGACCTGAGTGAGCGAGATGGGACAGCAACATGGATGAGATCGGAGAGGTAAGGAGGGGCGAGACAGTGGATACATTTGTATGTGAGAAGCAGGATTTTGAATGAGATTCTGCGTTCAATAGGCAGCCAGTGGAGATGCTGAAGAACAGGGCTGATGTGATCTCTATAGGGGGTACGAGTGATGATCCGTGCAGCAGCATTTTGGAGGAGTTGGAGCCGATGGAGGGATTTATGGGGGAGACCAAAAAGAAGAGAGTTACAGTAGTCAGTCCTAGAAGAGGCTGTGTACGAGGATGGCTGTAGCATGAGGAGTGAGAGAGGGACGGAGTCGGTTGATATTGCGTAAATGAAAGTAGGCTGAGCGAATGATGTTATTGATGTGGGCTTTGAATGATAAAGTGCTGTCAAGGATGACTCCAAGACTCTTTACATGGGGAGAAGGAAGGATGGAGGAATTATCTATGTTAATTGATATGCTGGGGGATATGTTCAGCGTGGAGGGTTTGCCTATGAGTAGAATTTCGGTTTTATTGCTGTTGAGTTTCAGGAAGTTTGAAGAGAACCATGATTTTATCTCAAGGAGACAGCTGGATAGGGAGACTGGGGGGAAGATAGCATCGGGTTGAGAGGAGATATAGATTTGAGTGTCATCTGCATAGAAGTGGAAATTTATCTTGTATTTGCGAAAGATATGGCCAAGTGGAAGAATTTTATCTTGTATTTGCGAAAGATATGGCCAAGTGG